TTCCACAAAGCTCAGTGTACGAGTCCGAGTCAAACCTCCCAGGTGGTACGTTTCAAATCCATCTTTCTTAGTCTGTGTACCCAGATGGTGTTCACCTTCTTGTGTTGGTTTTACTTTGACTATAAAGCCTCCAAGGTTTCTGACTGCCAAACATCTTTTATAAAAAGTTAACTGGACATTGTTTTTGGGTTTTAGTTGCCCTTTCATTGAAGAGCACAACAAAACGGGATCAGAAAAATGTGTCTAACTTTTAAATACTTGAAATGATTTGTAAGTCCCATGGAAGACGCCAGAAGGGGTCCCCCTGTCTAAACTATCGGGGGCTGCAGACACAAACTAAACTTGTGAGCAAACGAGGCGTGAATCCTAATTAAAGTCTAACGTGATATTTCCTCGTCGCAGCCAAGGCAGTGGTGAACTTCATCCAGAAGCTGGAGGACACCAGCGCCAACGAGAAGGACACCATAGTGACGTTCGAGTGTGAGACCAACGAGCCCTTCGTCAAAGTCAAATGGCTGAAGAACAACATGGAGATCTTCTCCGGAGACAAGTACAGGATGCACTCTGACAGAAAGGTCCACTTCCTGTCGGTGCTGGTGATCCAGATGAAGGACGCCGCAGAATTCTCGTGTGTGGTTATAGACGAGGAGAGCATCAGGACGAGCGCCCGGCTCCACGTAGAAGGTACTGAGAGTCCCTTCATGGGGTTATCATGGCTTAGTTTCTTATGATGATCTTTGGCTTTCTTTCCTTTTGTTTGGTTTCATCTCAGATTTCTTTCTTTTCAGACTTTCTTAGATTTATTTTTGGTTGGTTTCAGTTTTCTTTTGTTCACTTTGGTTTTTCTTTAGCTTCTTTGGTTTCTTTAGGTTTTGGTGGTTCTTACCTGAGTCTTCTTTGGTTTGATCCTGGTTCACTTTAGTTGTAACTTGATCTTTTGTTTTATCATCGTTTAGTTTTTCTTTGTCTTTCTGGAGTTGAGTTGGTTGTATCTTGGTGTGCGATGGTGTGATACCTTTCTGTACCCAGGTGCTGCCCTGGAGCTGAAAAAGCCCCTGGAGAACATCGAGGTGCCGGAGACTTACTCCGGAGACTTCGAGGTGGAGCTTTCTCGTGAAGACACTGAGGGCAGCTGGTTCTTCGGAGACAAGGAGATCTCCGCCAGCAGCAAATACGTCATTTCCTCCCGCAGAGGCCGCCAATCCCTGTCCGTCAAAGACGTGAAGAAGACAGACCAGGGGAAATACACCTTTGTGTGTGGAGAGCTGAAGACCAGCGCCTCCCTGAAGATGAAGCGTAAGCATAAGACGCCTATAACCAGCTGGGATTATTATGACTGATATCGCAATTGTGATATCATTTGGGAATGAACCTTACTCACATTATCATGTTGTGATTTGTTAAAGAGTATCTGTACCAAACAAGGATGTTTGTCAAGTCTGAAGAATCATCCCTGTAACTTCACAATACTCCACATATTTTCACATATTTTGCCTAAATTTTGCTCTAACTTGGATTTTGATATAATTTTGATAGCTTTTAGATAACATTTATATCACATTTGGACCATTTGGACACATTTGGACACATTTGGATAATATTTGGATACTATTTGGACACATTTGGACACATTTGGATAACATTTGGATAACATTTAGACACATTTGAACACATTTGGACACATTTGGATAATATTTGGATACTATTTGGACACATTTGGACACATTTGGATAACATTTGGATAACATTTAGACACATTTGAACACATTTGGACACATTTGGACACATTTGGATAATATTTGGACACATTTGGACACATTTAGACACATTTAGACACATTTGGATAATATTTGGACACATTTGGACACATTTGGACACATTTGGACACATTTGAACACATTTTGATAATATTTGGACACATTTAGACACATTTGGATAATATTTAGACACATTTGAACACATTTGGACACATTTGGATAATATTTGGACACATTTAGACACATTTGGATAATATTTGGACACATTTAGACACATTTGGATAATATTTGGACACATTTGGACACATTTGGACACATTTGAACACATTTGGATAATATTGGACACATTTAGACACATTTGGATAATATTTGGACACATTTGGACACATTTGGATAATATTTGGACACATTTGGACACATTTGGACACATTTGAACACATTTGGATAATATTTGGACACATTTAGACACATTTGGATAATATTTGGACACATTTAGACACATTTGGACACATTTGGACACATTTGGACACATTTAGACACATTTGGATAACATTTAGACACATTTGGATAATATTTGGACACATTTAGACACATTTGGATAATATTTGGACACATTTAGACACATTTGGACACATTTGGACACATTTGGATAACATTTAGACACATTTGGACACATTTAGACACATTTGGATAACATTTGGATAACATTTAGACACATTTGGACACATTTGGACACATTTGGAGACATTTAGACACATTTGGATAACATTTGGACACATTTGGACACATTTGGACACATTTGGATAACATTTAGACACATTTGAACACATTTGGACACATTTGGATAATATTTGGACACATTTAGACACATTTGGATAATATTTGGACACATTTAGACACATTTGGATAATATTTGGACACATTTGGACACATTTGGACACATTTGAACACATTTGGATAATATTTGGACACATTTAGACACATTTGGATAATATTTGGACACATTTGGACACATTTGGATAATATTTGGACACATTTGGACACATTTGGACACATTTGAACACATTTGGATAATATTTGGACACATTTAGACACATTTGGATAATATTTGGACACATTTAGACACATTTGGACACATTTGGACACATTTGGACACATTTAGACACATTTGGATAACATTTAGACACATTTGGATAATTTGGACACATTTAGACACATTTGGATAATATTTGGACACATTTAGACACATTTGGACACATTTGGACACATTTGGATAACATTTAGACACATTGGACACATTTAGAACATTTGGATAACATTTGGATAACATTTAGACACATTTGGACACATTTGGACACATTTGGACATTTAGACACATTTGGATAACATTTGGACACATTTGGACACATTTGGACACATTTGGATAACATTTAGACACATTTGAACACATTTGGACACATTTGGATAATATTTGGACACATTTAGACACATTTGGATAATATTTGGACACATTTAGACACATTTGGATAATATTTGGACACATTTGGACACATTTAGACACATTTGGATAACATTTGGACACATTTGGACACATTTGGACACATTTGGACACATTTAGACACATTTGGATAACATTTGGACACATTTGGACACATTTGGACACATTTGGATAACATTTGGACACATTTGGACACATTTGGACACATTTGGACACATTTGGATAACATTTGGATAACATTTGGACACATTTGGATAATATTTGGACACATTTGGACACATTTAGACACATTTGGATAACATTTGGATAACATTTGGACACATTTGGACACATTTGGACACATTTGGACACATTTAGACACATTTGGATAACATTTGGATAACATTTGGACACATTTGGACACATTTGGATAACATTTGAACACATTGGACACATTTGGACACATTTGGATAACATTTGGACACATTTGGACACATTTGGACACATTTGGATAACATTTGGACACATTTGGATAACATTTGGACACATTGGACACATTTGGATAAATTTGGACACATTTGGATACATTTGGACACATTGGACACATTTGGATAACATTTGGACACATTTGGACACATTGTTGCTGTGTTTATCGCCCCCCGCAGTGCGCCTGGTGACGGTGATGCACCCTGAGATAATAACGTCTGGTGTAAAGTCCTATATTTATCTGTAGTGTTGGTTATTATAACATCTGTTTATCGCCCCGCAGTGCGCCCGGTGACCCTGCGCAGGCCGCTCAGCGACCTGACGGTGTGTGAGGGCGACATCGCTCAGCTGGAGGTCCGCTTCTCCCAGGAGAACGTGGAGGGCAGCTGGATGAAGAACGGGACAGCCGTCATCGCCTCGGACCGGGTCCACATCGTCATCGACAAACAGATCCACAAGCTGCTGCTGGAGAACGTGAGCCGCGAGGACGCCGCCTCGTACGCCTTCATCGTGCCGGCTCAGGACATCTCCACCTCCGGGAAGCTCAGCGTGCAGAGTGAGTGACGCTCACGGCTTTAGGGGCGTTCTGGGGAATTCGGGGGCATTTTGGACTGTTATTGCTGTTTTATTGGGATTCTCTTTGGTTCCATTTGGTTTCCTTTGGACTTGTTGATCTTATCCTGGTTCTCTTTGCATTCGTCCTGATGTTTATGCAGATTTTATTAGTTTTCATTTGGACTTGTAGCTTTTCTTGGTTTTATATCGTTTGTTGGTTGGTTTGATCTCAGTTATCCTGAGTTTTCTTTGGTGTTATTCTGGTTTTATGCAGATTTTATTTAGATTTATCTTTAGTTTTTCTTCGCTTGTCTTTAGTTTCTGGCGTCAGATCATTGATTGTCTGTACGTCTCCTTCCTCGCAGCGATCGACATCGTGAACCCGCTGGAAGGACGTTTCCTCCGTCGAAGGCACGAAGGCGGTGCTGGAGACGAAGATCTCAGCGCAGGACGTTCTCTCTGTGAAGTGGTTCCTGAACGGGAAGCTGCTGACGGCCAGCGATCGGGTGCAGATGGTGTCGAAGGATCCAAGCAGAGGCTCGTCTTCAACCGAACCTTCGCCTCCGACGAGGGCCGATACAAACTGGTGGTCGGGAAGGTGGACACCAGCTGCAGCCTCTCCGTAGAAAGTAAGATTTCACCCTCCAGAGATCCTCCTCTTGGCTCCTGATCCCAGATCTGTGTCCTTTAGCTAGAGGGATGATTCAACAGAACAAGCCTAACTTTGAAACCTATTTTAGGACACTTCCTGACAAGAGAAGGAAACATTGACGGTTTCAATGGATTTGATTGCATCTTTTGTTTCATACTGTGTCCGAATTCTCACTCTCACTTAGGAAATGAGTCCGCTACAGCATTATGAACACAGGAATGTTGATACGTGCAATCGAGCAATTCTTGTTGTGCACTTAAACACAAGCTAGAGGGACAACTCTGACAGCAATGGATTCGTCAAATGTTTCTTGTTTAACGTCATTTTTTTAACCTTTTATTCAAAAATATTTGCTATTTTTTTTGGGCCAGATCAGCCTAACATTGGAGCGTCTTTTAGCGAAGTTCCCAACAAGCTACCAAGACCTGCTCATTGTCAATGGATTCGTCTGATTGGGTAGTTGCATAGGATATCAGGATTTAACTGTATCTTGGGAATTGAGCTTTTGGGGAAAAGCCAAACTATACAAGTTGTTAAGGCATTTCTAAAACAGCTAGACGGTATGATTTTGAAACATATTTTCGGCACTTCCGACAGGCTTTTTCGAGAGATTTTTACTGTCATTTAAGAAATGTGTCCGCTACAGTATAAAAACAGCAATGTATTGATCCGGCAATAAGTGACTTAGCTCTTTCTTTGGTCTAGTTGTTTTTTTCCTTTAGTTTTCTTTGTTTTAATTGAGTTAATAGAGCCAGAGAGGCTTCTATTCTGGCTCCATTAGCAATGAAAAGCAACTGTTAGAGAAATGATGTGAAGATTACTCATTTGGCAAAGTTTGAATGGGTGTCAAAGTTGTCTGCAAAAACAAAAAAACATGCCTTTCTCTAGATTATACAACTCCAGAAAGTATAGTGTAGGATCAAATAACATCAAGTGTGCGAGAAGAGAAAGTCTATAATTTAAGATCAGAATAATGACTTTGGTAACCCCCCCCCCTGCTGTGTTTCCCTCAGAGGTGCACATCGTGAAGCAGATGGAGGATAAGGTGTGCTCCGAGTCTCAGAACGTGACCTTCAGCGTGGAGGTTTCCCACGCCGGCATCGACCCGCTCTGGACCTTCAGGAACCAGCCGCTCAAAGCCGGACCCAAATACAAGATGGAGTCCAGCGGCAAGAAGCACTCTCTGACGTCGTCAACACCATGAAGGACGAAGAGGGAGCGTACAGCTTCCACGCCGAGAGAAGACGGCAGCGCCAAACTCACCGTCTCCGGTAAACTGCAGCTCTTAGACCTTATCAAGAAGACACATGTCAATATATAATATAACGGCGAGCAAGGGAGGTGATGACAGAGATGACTGGGGTTCATTTAGGATCAAAACTTATTAGTCCCTGATATGAAATAAGTGCATTTACCAGACTTAAAAACATTCAAAATGTTCTAATATTAAAATGGTAGATTTCCTATAATAGCGGAAAAACTCCAATAATATCCGATAAAAAAACATACAAATTCACGAGAAAATAACTTGAATATTTCTCATATTAAAGAGTTGAATTAGTGTTTTAAAAAATCTGAAAATGAACCTGAAAAATACTTGAATGAAATTGGTAAATGTCACTATTGTCACAATATTTTTTTGTTGTTGAATTTCTTTCTGGTATTATATGGATAAAGTTCCCAATAAAAAACTAAGAAAGATCACCAGAGAAAAGGTATTCTTTGATCATTTTCTTTGATAATATCCTTGATAATAAAGCGTTTATACCTGATAAGAGAAAGCGCTGAGTCCTGACCCTGTGTTTTCCCTGTTCCTCCTCCAGGGGGCGCCATCACGGTGCCTCTGCAGGACGTGACGGTGGCTGAGTCCCAGACGGCGGCGCTGGAGTGCGAGGTCGCCAACGCCTCAGCTGAAGGTTGCTGGCTGAGAGAAGGTCAGCCGGTCGACTTCAATGACAACAGTGACGAGCGAGATGAAGGGCTGCGTACGCCGGCTGCCTCATCTTCATCACCAGACCGCAGGACGTGGGGGAGTACAGCTACCAGGTGTCCAGCTCCAAGACCAGCGCCACCCTGAGGGTGGAGGGTGAGTTACAACAACAACAGAGAGGGGGGGAGTAAGAACAACCTGAGGGTAGAGGGTGAGTTACAACAACAACAACAACAACAGAGAGGGGGGGGGGGGGGAGTAAGAACAACCTGAGGGTGGAGGGTGAGTAACAACAACAGGGGGGTGGAGGGTGAGTTACAACAACAACAGAGAGGGGGTGGAGTAAGAACAACCTGAGGGTAGAGGGTGAGTAACAACAACAACAACAACAACAGAGAGGGGGGGAGTAAGAACAACCTGAGGGTAGAGGGGATTTACAACAACAACAACAACAACACAGAGAGGGGGGGGGGAGTAGAACAACCTGAGGGTGGAGGGTGAGTAACAACAACAACAACACAACAGAGAGGGGGGGGAGTAAGAACAAACCTGAGGGTAGAGGGTGAGTTACAACAACAACAACAACAACAACAACAGAGAGGGGGGGGGGAGTAAGAACAACCTGAGGGTGGAGGGTGAGTAACAACAACAGGGGGTGGAGGGTGAGTAACAACAACAACAGAGAGGGGGTGGGGAGTAACACACAGGGGGTGGAGGGTGAGTAACACAACAACAGAGAGGGGGTGGGGAGTAACAACAACAGGTGGGGTGGAGGGTGAGTAAACAACAACAAGGGGGTGGAGGGTGAGTAACAACAACAGGGGGTGGAGGGTGAGTAAACAACAACAGGGGGTGGAGGGTGAGTAACAACAACAGGGGGGTAGAGGGTGAGTAACAACAACAGGGGGTGGAGGGTGAGTAACAACAACAGGGGGTGGGAGGGTGGAGTAACAACAACAGGGGTGGAGGGTGAGTAACAACAACAGGGGGTGGAGGGGTGAGTAACAACAGCAGGGGGTGGAGGGTGAGTAACAACAACAGGGGGTGGAGGGTGAGTAACAACAACAGGGGGTGGAGGGTGAGTAACAACAACAACAGAGAGGGGGTGGAGGGTGAGTAACAACAACAGGGGGGTAGAGGGTGAGTAACAACAACAGGGGTGGAGGGTGAGTAACAACAACAGGGGGTGGAGGTGAGTAACAACAACAGGGGGTGGAGGGTGAGTAACACCAACAGGGGGTGGAGGGTGAGTAAACAACAACAGGGGATGGGGTGAGTAACAACAACAGGGGGTGGAGGTGAGTAACAACAACAACAGAGAGGGGGTGGAGGGTGAGTAACAACAACAGGGGGTGGAGGGTGAGTAACAACAACAGGGGGTGGAGGGTGAGTAACAACAACAGGGGGTGGAGGGTGAGTAACAACAACAACAGAGAGGGGGTGGAGGGTGAGTAACAACAACAGGGGGTGGAGGGTGAGTAACAACAACAGGGGTGGAGGGTGAGTAACAACAACAGGGGGTGGAGGGTGAGTAACAACAACAGGGGGGGGAGGGTGAGTAACACCAACAGGGGGTGGAGGGTGAGTAACAACAACAGGGGATGGAGGGTGAGTAACAACAACAGGGGGTGGAGGGTGAGTAACAACAACAGGGGGTGGAGGGTGAGTAACAACAACAGGGGGTGGAGGGTGAGTAACAACAACAGGGGGGGGAGGGTGAGTAACAACAACAGGGGGTGGAGGGTGAGTAACAACAACAGGGGGTGGAGGGTGAGTAACACCAACAGGGGGTGGAGGGGGTGTAGTAACAACAACAGGGGTGGAGGGTGAGTAACAACAAAGGGGGTGGAGGGGTGAGCGAAACTAGAAATAAAATATTTTATATCAGAATTTTGAGAAAAACAGTCAGAATTCAGAAAGAAGTAATGTATTTTTTCTGAAAATCTGACTTTTCCCCAAAAATTCTGATAAAATTTACTAAAAAAAATGTTTTTACAATATTTTCCAAAAATCTCACAATTCCGAAATAAAAATAAAATAATACTTTTTTTTTCTTCAGGGTTTTTTACCTACAAATATTATCATTTTATTTATTTATATAAACGTGCCACAACTTGGAGGAAAATACCACATGTGTCTTTACTTAAAACTATACTAAAGATATCTTTGACTACTTTGAGGGTCTTTAGTGTCCCCTCTGGTGCCCCCTGACAGGACACATGTTCATCTGCACATCAAATAAAAATATAAATACATTATTAATTGGAAGAAATAATAAATATTATAAACTAAAAAATGAATCCACAAAAATTATGTAAAATGATTAAAGAACAATTATACAAAATAGAAGAAATTAATAAAATATTAAAGACAGTAAAAAAGGGGTTATTGCTAATTAAGAGATTTGTTTTCTTTATATTATTACTATAATACACAATTTTCTAGAATTTGCCAGAGTTTGGGAGCGTAGTGGACTAAAAATAAAACAATTTAGTGTGACTTTAGGAATATTTAAAGCCTCTAGATGCCGTGTGGTCCCTGTGTTTAATATATGCTGCTGTGAGGGGACTGTCCCTCTGGTGCCACCTGGTGGTGATCCTGATGGTCTCTGTGTTCCTGACCTGCAGCGGTGAAGATGAAGAAGACCCCTGAGGAACCAGACGGTGACGGAGACCCAGGACTCGGTGTTCTCTCTGGAGCTGACGCACAGCGGGGTGAAGGGCTCGCAGTGGATCAGGAACGGAGTCGAGCTGCAGAACAGCCACAAGTTCCAGATGTTCTCCGAGGGAACCGTGCACACTCTGAGGGTGAAGAGCTGCAAGCACGCAGGACGAGGGGGGTCTACTCCTTCAAGCTGGGGAAGCTGTCGGCCAACGCCCCGGCTCAACGTGGAGAGTGAGTGGGGCGGGGTATCTTATGAGGGATTCTAATACTAGTTCATATTTTAAATTATTATATTATTATTATTTTATTTCTTTGTATTTTGGAGTAGTACATTTAAAAAAAAATACAATATGCATCAGTCAGTGTTTTCATTAATAGGCATCTCCACACCTCGCTCTGATGAGTCAGTGTTTCATTAATAGGCATCTCCACACCTCGCTCTGATGAGTCAGTGTTTAGCATTGACCTGTTTTAACCTTCAATATGTCCCGCAGCGATTAAGATCGTGAAGAGATAAAGGGACGTGACGTCTCTTCTGGACGGCACCGCCTCCTTCGAGCTCAGTCTGTCTCACGACGACATCCCGGTCCGATGGACCTTCAACGGCTCGGAGCTGAAGACCAGCGAGAAGATCCAGATCCTGTCGGAGAGGAAAGCTCACAAGCTGGTTCTGCAGAACGTGGACCAGAGCCTCGCGGGGAGTACAGCGCCGGTGGTGGGACACCTGCAGTGCAGCGCCACGCTCACCGTGGAGGGTAACTGTTATTATTATAGTGACAGAGTTGAATCACCTGCAGCGCCGTCTATGCCCTCTTTAAGTAGAGACGAGATTAGGGCTGCACGATATATCGTGTCGATAATTCTTTTTTTTTAGGACGTGCGATATTAAGTAGGCAAATGAACTCAAACACGTCATGTTACAATTCTTTTGCTGCTTGCTGCAAAAGGAAAAGCTACTTGAGTGAGTGACCTGCAGGCTCTGCATGCACAGCAAACCACCAATCACAACCATCCTTGATCAGATCACAGCTAACCGAGCTAGCTCAGCTCGTTGCTCTGGTAACTGACGATCCAGACGTCCGTGACTAAAATCCTTCATCCGGTTAAATATCGTTAAAAAAAGACCAATTGTATCATTACAGTTCAAGAGAGGATGGTTTGCGGACAAAAAAAACGGTCTTGTCTTCAATTCCTGTATTCCTGTATTTTTTCATATCGCAATGTCAGTTTTTTCCAACATCGTGCGGCCCCAGTAGAGACACCGAGGCCCTCTAACGTGACGTCTGAGTGTGATGGTATTCCTGCACCAAGCCTCTGAAGAGCGTCATAAAGTACTTCTTCTCTTCTCTTTTAGCCCTGCGTGTCACCAAGCCTCTGAAGAGCGCCTCGGTGCCGGAGACGCACACGGCGTCCTTCGAGTGTGAGGTCTCTCACTTCAATGTGCCGTCCACCTGGCTGAAGGACGGCGTGGACATCGAGATGAGCGACAAGTTCAGGATCGTGGTCCAGGGGAAACTCCACCAGCTGAAGATCACCAACACGAGCCGAGAAGACGCCGCCGAGTACACGTTCGTGTGTGGGAACGACCGAGTGTCCGCCAAGCTCACCGTCAGCCGTAAGCCTCTCATTCAATCTAAAGAAATCCATAGAGTCTGAGGAGAGAGAGGCTGGTGCTCTCCGACATGTTTGCATCTTCTGTTCAGTCAGAATGTACCGTCACCCTTAACAACGGAAGAGGATGAGCGAGACACCGTAATGTTAGAGATCTGAAGAAAATAAAACGAGTTTTGAGAAAAAAAAGTCAGAAATCTAAGAAAAAAAATTTGAATTCTGAAGTTTTGGGAAAATTGTATTTATTAAAAAAATATGTATTTTTCAGAATTCTTTGGAGAAAACTGATTTTTGAGATTTTCAGGAAAAAAAATGTTTTAACTTTTAATTTGCTTGAGATAAAACAAGTCTGAATTTGCCATTTTTGAGAAGAAAGTATAAAAAATCAATATTTTCAGAAAATAGTAATAATTCTGCCTTTTTTTCACAGAATTCTGGAAAAAAAATGTTACCTTTTTTTCTGAAAGTCAAATAAATCTCACTGTTTTCTAAAAATTTCAGAAAAAACTTATATTTCTTTAAATAAAAATGTTCCCAAAAATCTCAGAATTCAGATTTTTTTTCTTAGATTTCTGACTTTTTTCTCAAAACTCAAATTATTTGTAATTTTTGGTCAGATCTCAAAACGTTTCCACATGTGGCCCTCATCCTCTTCCGTACGTAAGACTTTCAAATCACTCAACATATAAAACATCAGGAAGTGCTTTCTCACGGGGTCTAAACATCCTGATCTTAGAGTTTCTGTGTGCTGACATTCACAAGAAACACTGAAAAGCACCATGATGTCACAGCGATGTCACAGCGATGTCACAGCGTCCCCATGGTGTAACTAGAGAGGACACACACAGCCACCAGTACAGATATTATAACGGAAGTACAGATCATTTCATTTAGCTGAGGCTTTTATCCAAAGCGACTTACAATAAGTGCGTTCGACCAACAAGACACAACCTTGAAGAAAACAGAATCATGAAGTACATCAGGTTTCATAGAGCCAAACATTTCAAGTGCTACTCAACTGGCTTTAGATAAGCCAGTCCTTTATTAGTATAAAGTGCTTTGTTAGTAATTCTATAGCTGGAAGTGGAGTCGAAAAGAGATGAGTTTTCAGTCTGGAAGGTGTGTAAGCTATCTGCTGTCCTGATGTCAATGGGGAGCTCATTCCACCATCTGGAGCCAGGACAGCAAAAGATCAGGTGGTAGATGATTGCAGGGTGTTGGATCTCTCCCTTTCAACACTGGCACTTCATGAGATCACCAGAATAACCAGAAAGTATTGAATAGAAAATACATGTTTACCAAACTCTTGTGAGTGAGGAGACTGTGCCAAACATAACAACCACAAGGCCTTTCCATCCCTTTAAATCCACGTGGGGGGCACCAATTCCCTCATTGACATATCCTAAGAAGTACTGACTGTATCCCTCATGTTTTTAAAGTCTTCCGAGTTAATGAATGCCCCCCCCCCCTTAGTAGATATCTTCAGAAGTACTAAGTGTCCCCCCCCCCCGTGCAGTAGATATATATAATAAGTGTCCCCCCCCCCCCCCCCCCCCCCCTCTGCAGCGGTGCTCATCACCTCATGCTGAAGGACCTGAGGGCTCAGGAGAGAGACTCCATCACCTTGGAGGTGACGGTGAACCAGGAGAACGTGAGCTACAGTGGCTGAAGAACGGCGTGGAGGTGAAGTCGTCTGAGCGCGTCTCTGTGAGGAGCCGGCAGCTCTCGCACTCCCTGAACATCAGGAACGTGCACTTTGGAGACGGAGGAGAGTACAGCTTCGTGTCCGGGTCCTCCTCCTGCCCGCAAGCCTCTACGTGGAGGGTGAGTCCGGGGAAGGGCTGCTAGGGTGGGGGTTATGGAGAGGGGGTTATAGAGAGGGGGTATAGAGAGGGGGTATGGAGAGGGGGTATCGAGAGGAGGTATGGAGAGGGGGGTATAGAGAGGGGTATGGAGTGGGGTATAGAGTAGGGGTATAGAGAGCGGGGGTATAGAGTGGGGTTATAGAGTGGGGGTATAGAGTGGGGGTATAGAGAGGGGGTACGGAGTGGGGGTACAGAGTGGGGGTACGGAGAGGGGGTACGGAGTGGGGGTACAGAGAGAAGGTACAGAGAGGGGGTACGGAGGGGGGGTACGGAGTGGGGGTACGTCGAGGGGGTACAGAGTGGGATACGGAGAGGGGGTACGGAGAGGGGGGTACGGAGTGGGGGTACAGAGAGAAGTACAGAGAGAGGGGTACGGAGAGGGGGTACAGAAGAGGGGGTATAGAAAGGGGGTACAGAGAGGGGGTACAGAGAGGGGGTACAGAAAGGGGGTATAGAAAGGGGTACAGAGAGGGGGGTATAGAGAGAAGAGATGGAAGAAAACTGAGATTCTCTGATACCAAAGAAGTGATTAGTCATTAGGTGGAGAGCAAAGAGACCACGGGACCCCCCGGTGATCAGGCAGAGCAGGGCTATGAGACACAAACACCAACAACACTGAGCTTGAAGTCGTTATTTAGTTAAAAACTTCATTTATTATCAATCAGGGAGAAAAGATAGCAATGGAGTCTAACGTGGAAGGTGAGCCCCGGGATGTGTTTAACAGAGGACTGGGGGGTTTTCATAGTTTAATGATGGGATGTGTAGTTGATGAGAATTTAAGGGTGGATCAGAATGTTCAAACATAGAATAGAACATTTAGATAAATAAATAAAACAACAGATAAAACATCATCATAATAATAATAGTGTAGCATTGATGTAATTGTGAACCCTCCTGTGTCTCAGCTCGAGTGATCGAGTTCACCAAGAAGATCAAAGACATAAAGGTCACGGAGAAGAAGAAGGCCGTGTTCGAGTGTGAGATCTCCGAGCCAACGTGCAGGTCGGCTGGATGAAGAACGGCCAGGAGCTGGAGCAGGAGGGCAGGTGAGAGAGAGAGAGAGAGAGATAATATGTACATCCTAACCTCTGACACAGAGCGTGTTGTTAACCTGAGTCTCCGTGGTGCGTTCAGGTTCTCGGTGACAGCGGAGAAGTTCGTCCACCGGCTGATGATCCAGTCGGTCAGGATGTCGGACGCCGGAGAGTTCTCTGTGGTCGCCGGGTCGAGCGTCTCCAGAGCCCAGCTGGTGGTGGAGGGGAGAGACGTCCGAATCTCTGACCCCCCCCGAGAGGGTCATCACGGTGAGGGGGGGGCACTCATTCATGCTAACATCTATTAACTAAGAGAAAGAGGAAACTCTCAGGAACAGAGAGGGGGTCTCAGAGATAGCCAGATAATCATTTCTGACCATTTACAAGATTACAGTCGTAGATTTAGGAGTAAAATAAGGGCTTTTCTGAGAATAAAGTGGTAAATTCACGAGAAAATCTATTAGTTTTTGGGGATTCTGTTCATCAAGTTATTCTCTGAATATTTGAGCATTTCTTTGAGATTTTAGCAGTAATTAAGCAGAATACAAACAGTCAGAAATAAGCGAAAATAACAAAATTAACAACCGGGAAATTCTCTGAGAATAAACGAATCATAATGTGAAAGTAATCATGGAACATCTTAAAGTAGAGCAATGTTCCTGGAAAGAACAACATGGCTTTACTTGGATCCAAAACAAGAAACGGTAAATAATAAATAAATCCAAACTGATTCCCGTCTGCAGGTTCTGGAGAAGCAGCGCGCCACCTTTGAGCTGGAGGTGAACGAGGACGAGGTGGAGGGCCGCTGGCTGAGGAACGGCGTGGAGATCCAGTTCTCTGTGGAGCAGCGCTTCAACTACGTCTGCATCCGGAGGGATTCACCGCCTCACCGTGACGGAGACCTTCAGGAGCGATGCGGGAGAATACACCTTCATCGCCGGGAAGAACCGGACCACCATGAACCCTCCGAGTCAACCGTGAGTCCAAGGTCACACATCCTGTACTCAGGTACAAGGTCACACATCCTGTACTCAGGTACAAGGTCACACATCCTGTACTCAGGTACAAGGTCACACATCCTGTACTCAGGTACAAGGTCACACATCCTGTACTCAGGGTACAAGGTCACACATCCTGTACTCAGGTACAAGTACACACATCCTGTACAAGGTCACACATCCTGTACTCAGGTACAAGGTCACACATCCTGTACTCAGGTACAAGTACACACATCCTGTACTCAGGTACAAGGTCACACATCCTGTACTCAGGTACAAGGTCACACATCCTGTACTCAGGTACAAGGTCACACATCCTGTACTCAGTTACAAGTACACACAGCCTGTACTCAGGTACAAGTACACACATCCTGTACTCAAGGAGAAGTACACACATCCTGTGCACAGGTACAAGTACACACAGCCTGTACTCAGGTACAAGTACACACATCCTGTACTCAGGTACAAGTACACACATCCTGTACTCAGGTACAAGTACACACATCCTGTACTCAGGTACAAGTACACACATGCTGCACTCAAGTACAAGTACACACATAATTTACTCAAGGAGAAGTACACACATCCTGTACTCGGGTACAAGTACACACAGCCTGTACTCAGGTACAAGTACACACATCCTGTACTCCAGTAGAAGTACACACATCCTGTACTCAAGTAGAAGTACACACATCCTGTACTCAAGTAGAAGTACACACATCCTGGTCCTACAGGTTTTTTTGTTCAACATGTGAGAAGTAGAAAGTACAGGTATTTGGGTTCAACATGTAAGAAGTAGAAAGTACAGGTATTTGAGTTCAACATGTAAGAAGTAGAAAGTACAGGTATTTGAGTTCAACATGTAAGAAGTAGAAAGTACAGGTATTTGGGTTCAACATGTAAGAAGTAGAAAGTACAGGTATTTGAGTTCAACATGTAAGAAGTAGAAAGTACAGGTATTTGAGTTCAACATGTAAGAAGTAGAAAGTACAGGTATTTGAGTTCAACATGTAAGAAGTAGAAAGTACAGGTATTTGAGTTCAACATGTAAGAAGTAGAAAGTACAGGTATTTGGGTTCAACATGTAAGAAGTAGAAAGTACAGGTATTTGAGTTCAACATGTAAGAAGTAGAAAGTACAGGTATTTGAGTTCAACATGTAAGAATTAGAAAGTGCAGGTATTTGAGTTCAACATGTAAGAAGTAGAAAGTACAGGTATTTGAGTTCAACATGTAAGAAGTAGAAAGTACAGGTATTTGAGTTCAACATGTGAGAAGTAGAAAGTACAGGTATTTGAGTTCAACATGTGAGAAGTAGAAAGTACAGGTATTTGTGTTCAACATGTAAGAAGTAGAAGTACAGGTATTTGTGTTCAACATGTAAGAAGTAGAAAGTACAGGTATTTGAGTTCAACATGTAAGAAGTAGAAGGTACAGGTATTTGAGTTCAACATGTAAGAAGTAGAAAGTACAGGTATTTGAGTTCAACATGTAAGAAGTAGAAAGTACAGGTATTTGAGTTCAACATGTAAGAAGTAGAAAGTACAGGTATTTGAGTTTAAACATGTAAGAAGTAGAAGTACAGGTATTTGTGTTCAACATGTAAGAAGTAGAAAGTACAGGTATTTGAGTTCAACATGTGAGAAGTAGAAAGTACAGGTATTTGAGTTCAACATGTACGAAGTAGAAAGTACAGATATTTGAGTTCAACATGTGAGAAGTAGAAAGTACAGGTATTTGAGTTCAACATGTGAGAAGTAGAAAGTACAGGTATTTGAGTTCAACATGTAAGAAGTAGAAAGTACAGGTATTTGAGTTCAACATGTGAGAAGTAGAAAGTACAGGTATTTGAGTTCAACATGTAAGAAGTAGAAAGTACAGGTATTTGAGTTCAACATGTAAGAAGTAGAAAGTACAGGTATTTGTGTTCAACATGTAAGAAGTAGAAAGTACAGGTATTTGAGTTCAACATGTAAGAAGTAGAAAGTACAGGTATTTGTGTTCAACATGTAAGAAGTAGAAGGTACAGGTATTTGTGTTCAACATGTAAGAAGTAGAAAGTACAGGTATTTGAGTTCAACATGTGAGAAGTAGAAAGTACAGGTATTTGTGTTCAACATGTAAGAAGTAGAAAGTACAGGTATTTGGGTTCAACATGTAAGAAGTAGAAAGTACAGGTATTTGAGTTCAACATGTAAGAAGTAGAAAGTACAGGTATTTGAGTTCAACATGTGAGAAGTAGAAAGTACAGGTATTTGTGTTCAACATGTAATAAGTAGAAAGTACAGGTATTTGTGTTCAACATGTAAGAAGTAGAAAGTACAGGTATTTGTGTTCAACATGTAAGAAGTAGAAAGTACAGGTATTTGTGTTCAACATGTAAGAAGTAGAAGTACAGGTATTTGTGTTCAACATGTAAGAAGTAGAAAGTACAGGTATTTGTGTTCAACATGTAAGAAGTAGAAAGTACAGGTATTTGTGTTCAACATGTGAGAAATAGAAAGTACAGGTATTTGTGTTCAACATGTAAGAAGTAGAAAGTACAGGTATTTGTGTTCAACATGTAAGAAGTAGAAAGTACAGGTATTTGTGTTCAACATGTGAGAAGTAGAAAGTACAGGTATTTGTGTTCAACATGTAAGAAGTAGAAAGTACAGATATTTGTGTTCAACATGTAAGAAGTAGAAAGTACAGGTATTTGTGTTCAACATGTAAGAAGTAGAAAGTACAGGTATTTGAGTTCAACATGTAAGAAGTAGAAAGTACAGGTATTTGGGTTCAACATGTAAGAAGTAGAAAGTACAGGTATTTGTGTTCAACATGTAAGAAGTAGAAAGTACAGGTATTTGTGTTCAACATGTAAGAAGTAGAAAGTACAGGTATTTGTGTTCAACATGTAAGAAGTAGAAAGTACAGGTATTTGAGTTAAACATGTGAGAAGTAGAAAGTACAGGTATTTGAGTTCAACATGTGAGAAGTAGAAAGTACAGGTATTTGTGTTCAACATGTAAGAAGTAGAAAGTACAGGTATTTGTGTTCAACATGTAAGAAGTAGAAAGTACAGGTATTTGAGTTCAACATGTAAGAAGTAGAAAGTACAGGTATTTGAGTTCAACATGTAAGAAGTAGAAAGTACAGGTATTTGAGTTCAACATGTAAGAAGTAGAAAGTACAGGTATTTGTGTTCAACATGTAAGAAGTAGAAAGTACAGGTATTTGTGTTCAACATGTAAGAAGTAGAAGTACAGGTATTTGAGTTCAACATGTGAGAAGTAGAAAGTACAGGTATTTGAGTTCAACATGTGAGAAGTAGAAAGTACAGGTATTTGAGTTCAACATGTAAGAAGTAGAAAAGTACAGGTATTTGAGTTCAACATGTGAGAAGTAGAAAGTACAGGTATTTGAGTTCAACATGTGAGAAGTAGAAAGTACAGGTATTTGAGTTCAACATGTAAGAAGTAGAAAGTACAGGTATTTGTGTTCAACATGTAAGAAGTAGAAAGTACAGGTATTTGAGTTCAACATGTGAGAAGTAGAAAGTACAGGTATTTGAGTTCAACATGTACGAAGTAGAAAGTACAGATATTTGAGTTCAACATGTGAGAAGTAGAAAGTACAGGTATTTGAGTTCAACATGTGAACAGTAGAAAGTACAGGTATTTGAGTTCAACATGTAAGAAGTAGAAAGTACAGGTATTTGTGTTCAACATGTAAGAAGTAGAAAGTACAGGTATTTGAGTTCAACATGTGAGAAGTAGAAAGTACAGGTATTTGAGTTCAACATGTAAGAAGTAGAAAGTACAGGTATTTGTGTTCAACATGTAAGAAGTAGAAGTACAGGTATTTGAGTTCAACATGTGAGAAGTAGAAAGTACAGGTATTTGAGTTCAACATGTAAGAAGTAGAAAGTACAGGTATTTGGGTTCAACATGTAAGAAGTAGAAAGTACAGGGTATTTGTGTTCAACATGTAAGAAAGTAGAAAGTACAGGTATTTGTGTTCAACATGTAAGAAGTAGAAAGTACAGGTATTTGAGTTCAACATGTGAGAAGTAGAAAGTACAGGTATTTGAGTTCAACATGTGAGAAGTAGAAAGTACAGGTATTTGTGTTCAACATGTAAGAAGTAGAAAGTACAGGTATTTGTGTTCAACATGTAAGAAGTAGAAAGTACAGGTATTTGAGTTCAACATGTAAGAAGTAGAAAGTACAGGTATTTGAGTTCAACATGTGAGAAGTAGAAAGTACAGGTATTTGAGTTCAACATGTAAGAAGTAGAAAGTACAGGTATTTGAGTTCAACATGTGAGAAGTAGAAAGTACAGGTATTTGAGTTCAACATGTGAGAAGTAGAAAAGTACAGGTATTTGAGTTCAACATGTACGAAGTAGAAAGTACAGGTATTTGAGTTCAACATGTAAGAAGTAGAAAGTACAGATATTTGAGTTCAACATGTAAGAAGTAGAAAGTACAGGTATTTGTGTTCAACATGTAAGAAGTAGAAAGTACAGGTATTTGTGTTCAACATGTAAGAAGTAGAAAGTACAGGTATTTGAGTTCAACATGTAAGAAGTAGAAAGTACAGGTATTTGAGTTCAACATGTACGAAGTAGAAAGTACAGGTATTTGAGTTCAACATGTGAGAAGTAGAAAGTACAGGTATTTGAGTTCAACATGTACGAAGTAGAAAGTACAGGTATTTGAGTTCAACATGTAAGAAGTAGAAAGTACAGATATTTGAGTTCACATGTAAGAAGTAGAAAGTACAGGTATTTGTGTTCAACATGTTAAGAAGTAGAAAGTACAGGTATTTGTGTTCAAACATGTAAGAAGTAGAAAGTACAGGTATTTGAGTTCAACATGTAAGAAGTAGAAAGTAAAGGTATTTGAGTTCAACATGTGAGAAGTAGAAAGTACAGGCATTTGAGTTCAACATGTAAGAAGTAGAAAGTACAGGTATTTGAGTTCAACATGTAAGAAGTAGAAAGTACAGGTATTTGAGTTCAACATGTAAGAAGTAGAAAGTACAGGTATTTGAGTTCAACATGTAAGAAGTAGAAAGTACAGGTATTTGAGTTCAACATGTGAGAAGTAGAAAGTACAGGTATTTGAGTTCAACATGTGAGAAGTAGAAAGTACAGGTATTTGTGTTCAACATGTAAGAAGTAGAAAGTACAGGTATTTGAGTTCAACATGTAAGAAGTAGAAAGTACAGGTATTTGAGTTCAACATGTAAGAAGTAGAAAGTACAGGTATTTGAGTTCAACATGTAAGAAGTAGAAAGTACAGGTATTTGAGTTCAACATGTAAGAAGTAGAAAGTACAGGTATTTGAGTTCAACATGTGAGAAGTAGAAAGTACAGGTATTTGTGTTCAACATGTAAGAAGTAGAAAGTACAGGTATTTGAGTTCAACATGTAAGAAGTAGAAAGTACAGGTATTTGAGTTCAACATGTGAGAAGTAGAAAGTACAGGTATTTGAGTTCAACATGTAAGAAGTAGAAAGTACAGGTATTTGTGTTCAACATGTGAGAAGTAGAAAGTACAGGTATTTGTGTTCAACATGTAAGAAGTAGAAAGTACAGGTATTTGAGTTCAACATGTAAGAAGTAGAAAGTACAGGTATTTGAGTTCAACATGTAAGAAGTAGAAAGTACAGGTATTTGAGTTCAACATGTAAGAAGTAGAAAGTACAGGTATTTGTGTTCAACATGTAAGAAGTAGAAAGTACAGGTATTTGAGTTCAACATGTAAGAAGTAGAAAGTACAGGTATTTGAGTTCAACATGTAAGAAGTAGAAAGTACAGGTATTTGAGTTCAACATGTGAGAAGTAGAAAGTACAGGTATTTGAGTTCAACATGTAAGAAGTAGAAAGTACAGGTATTTGTGTTCAACATGTAAGAAGTAGAAAGTACAGGTATTTGTTTTCAACATGTAAGAAGTAGAAAGCACAGGTATTTGTGTTCAACATGTAAGAAGTAGAAAGTACAGGTATTTGTGTTCAACATATAAGAAGTAGAAAGTAAAAAGTGGTCAGAAAAATAAGTAGTTGAGTAAAGTACTGATACCAGAAACATGTACTTAAGTACAGTAACCAAGTATTTGTACTCCATACTTCCCACCTCTGATAATTATTGTTCCCACCTCTCTGTTCCTCCTGTAGTCCCGGAGCCTCCTCAGATCCAGCGCCACATGGAGCCTCAGTCTGTGGAGGCGGGGAAGCCGGCCCGGTTCTCCGTGCAGGTGAGCGGGGTCCCGGCTCCGCAGGTGTCCTGGTTCAAGAACTCCCAGGCGCTGTCCGCAGGCTTCAAGTGTAAGTTCCTGCACGACGGCGCCGAGCACTCGCTGCTGCTCATCGAGGTTTTCCCCGAGGACGCCGCCGTGTACCACTGTGAGGCCAAGAACGAGCACGGAGCCGCCAGCAGCACGGCCGCGCTGCACGTGGAAGGTGAGGCGGGGAGTGTATATTTCAGACAACAGTCACACAGATTAGAGATGTGTACAATTCAAGATACAATTACAATGATATACAGTTAAGTAACTTTTAAAGTAAGAAATGAATTGAACATATATACTTGTTTGGGTAGTGAAAGTGAAGGGAGGTGCAGGAAACAGAGAGTGTGAACACATGTTGACGCAGGTGTGTGTGTGTGTGTGCAGTGTCGGAGGTTGTGTCTCCGGACTCAGCAGCCACAGTGGCCCCCCCGGTGGTGATGAGCCCCATCAGCAGCACCTCCGCCCGCGAGGGAGAGCCGGCGCGCTTCCAGTGCCGAGTGCGAGGAGACGGTGAGGGGAACACGAGTCACTCACGTCCTTAAAGAGTGTTATTGCTAAATGTTGTGTGTTGAACATCCCTGATCACAGCAGGATTTGGAAAAACTTGTCCATGCTTTTATCTTCAGTAGACTCGACTACTGCAATGGTGTCTTCACAGGTCTCACTAAAAAATCTATTAGGAAGCTGCAGCTAATTCAGAACGCTGCTGCTCGAGTCCTCACTAACACTAAGAAAGTGGATCACATCACTCCAGTTCTGAAGTCTTTACACTGGCTTCCTGTGTGTCAAAGAATATATTTCAAAATACTGCTGCTGGTTTATAAAGCACTGAATGGTTTAGGCCCAAAATACATTTCTGACCTCCTGCTAAATTATGAACCATCCAGATCTCTCAGGTCTTCAGGGACTGGTCAGCTTTCTGTCCCCAGAGTCAGAACTAAACATGGTAAAGCAGCGTTCAGTTATTATGCTCCAAATATCTGGAACAAACTCCCAGAAACCTGCAGGTCCGCTACAACTCTGACTACTTTCAAATCCAGGCTGAAGACTTTTCTTTTTGTCGCTGCTTTTAATTGAACTATTCATATCTTAGACTGCACTGTAACTTTTATCCATGTACTTTTTTCTTTTAATGTTTAATTGACAGCACTGTAACTTTTATCCATGTATTTTTTCTTTTAATGTTTATTTTATTAGCTTTTCTTTTTAATGACTGATTTTAAATGCCATTTTTCTTAATCTCTTTCATTTTTTGTAAAGCACTTTGAATTGCCTTGTGTTGAAAAGTGCTATATAAATAAACTTGCCTTGCCTTGCCTTGATCATCTCTGAGAAACTGATAAATGATTCCCGGACAAAGTTTGTCTTGTGTTATATTTAATAAAGAAAGTTAATATAAAGTGAGATGGATCTGAAATGCAGGAACAGAGCAGCTTCATCCTCAGAGGAGAGAGAGGTTCTGCTCACAGGTTACAGTCACAGAGAAAACATCTAACTGGTCCCACCCTCACCTTCTCATCCCATCATTAAACTATGAACCCCCCAGTCCTTAACCATGTGCAGATCCGCCTTTACCCTCCTGAAATGTGACTGGTCCCACCCTCACCTTCTCATCCCATCATTAAACTATGAACCCCCCAGTCCTTAACCATGTGCAGATCCGCCTTTACCCTCCTGAAATGTGACTGGTCCCACCCTCACCTTCTCATCCCATCATTAAACTATGAACCCCCCAGTCCTTAACCATGTGCAGATCCGCCCTTTACCCTCCTGAAATGTGACTGGTCCCACCCTCACCTTCTCATCCCATCATTAAACTATGAACCCCCCAGTCCTTAACCATGTGCAGATCCGCCTTTACCCTCCTGAAATGTGACTGGTCCCACCCTCACCTTCTCATCCCATCATTAAACTATGAACCCCCCAGTCCTTAACCATGTGCAGATCCGCCTTTACCCTCCTGAAATGTGACTGGTCCCACCCTCACCTTCTCATCCCATCATTAAACTATGAACCCCCCAGTCCTTAACCATGTGCAGATCCGCCTTTACCCTCCTGAAATGTGACTGGTCCCACCCTCACCTTCTCATCCCATCATTAAACTATGAACCCCCCAGTCCTTAACCATGTGCAGATCCACCTTTACCCTCCTGAAATGTGACTGGTCCCACCCTCACCTTCTCATCCCATCATTAAACTATGAACCCCCCAGTCCTTAACCATGTGCAGATCCACCTTTACCCTCCTGAAATGTGAACCCTGAACACATGTCTCTGTTGAACACATGTAGGACTACAAATACTATTTAAAGGAGTAAAGGGCAATCAGAGTACAAGACATAATCTATATATATTATTTAAATGATTATATGAACATTTGACACAACAATAACCTCATGAATGTTTTGGTTTTCGCAGACGTGAAGATCAGCTGGTTCCACGGACAGAAGGAGATCAAGCAGTCGGACTTCTTCCGGATGTCTCAGTTTGACGACAGCTGTCAGCTGGAGATCTCCAGAGTTTACCCCGAGGACGAGGGCGAGTACAGCCTCCGGGCGACCAACGCAGCGGGGACGGTGTCCTGCAGCGCCGCGCTCAGCCTGGACGGTGAGTCTGGGACCAAGAGGGGTTCACTTGGAGAAAGAAGGGGTTAAAGACGCATTAGAGTTGCTTTTCTCTCTGTGGTGTTGCAAACAATATCACAGAACTGCCTTCCTCTTTTTCTAATTCCCAGAAGCAACTCAAATATAAAACAGATCAGCTGTTAGCTTCAGTTTCTACCCTCAGTTGCATGTTGGGTAACTTCCACCAGACATGACTGGTTTCAGACTGGTTTCAGACTGGTTTCAGACTGGTTTCAGTCTGGTTTCAGACTGGTTTCAGACTGGTTTCAGACTGGTTTCAGACAGGTTTCAGACAGGTTTCAGACTGGTTTCAGACTGGTTTCAGACAGGTTTCAGACAGGTTTCCGACAGGTTTCAGACTAGTTTCAGACTGGTTTCAGACTGGTTTCAGACTGGTTTCAGACAGGTTTCCGACAGGTTTCAGACTGGTTTCAGACTGGTTTCAGACTGGTTTCAGACTGGTTTCAGACTGGGTTCAGACTAGTTTCAGACTAGTTTCAGACTAGTTTCAGACAGGTTTCAGACTAGTTTCAGACTAGTTTCAGACTAGTTTCAGACTGGTTTCAGACTGGTTTCAGACTGGTTTCAGACTAGTTTCAGACAGGTTTCAGACTAGTTTCAGACTGGTTTCAGACAGGTTTCAGACTGGTTTCAGACTGGTTTCAGACTGGTTTCAGACTGGGTTCAGACAGGTTTCAGACTAGTTTCAGACTGGTTTCAGACTGGTTTCAGACTGGGTTCAGACAGGGTTTCAGACTGGGTTCAGACAGGTTTCAGACTAGTTTCAGACTAGTTTCAGACTAGTTTCAGACTGGTTTCAGACTGGTTTCAGACTGGTTTCAGACTGGTTTCAGACTGGGTTCAGACAGGTTTCAGACTAGTTTCAGACTAGTTTCAGACTAGTTTCAGACTGGTTTCAGACTGGTTTCAGACTGGTTTCAGACTAGTTTTCAGACAGGTTTCAGACTAGTTTCAGACTGGTTTCAGACAGGTTTCAGACAGGTTTCAGACTGGTTTCAGACTGGTTTCAGACTAGTTTCAGACTAGTTTCAGACTGGTTTCAGACTGGTTTCAGACTGGTTTCAGACAGGTTTCAGACTAGTTTCAGACTGGTTTCAGACAGGTTTCAGACAGGTTTCAGACTGGTTTCAGACTGGGTTCAGACAGGTTTCAGACTAGTTTCAGACTAGTTTCAGACTAGTTTCAGACTGGTTTCAGACTGGTTTCAGACTGGTTTCAGACTAGTTTCAGACAGGTTTCAGACTAGTTTCAGACTGGTTTCAGACAGGTTTCAGACAGGTTTCAGACTGGTTTCAGACTGGTTTCAGACTGGGTTCAGACAGGTTTCAGACTAGTTTCAGACTAGTTTCAGACTAGTTTCAGACTGGTTTCAGACTGGTTTCAGACTGGTTTCAGACTAGTTTCAGACTAGTTTCAGACTAGTTTCAGACTGGTTTCAGACTGGGTTCAGACAGGTTTCAGACTAGTTTCAGACTAGTTTCAGACTAGTTTCAGACTGGTTTCAGACTGGTTTCAGACTGGTTTCAGACTAGTTTCAGACAGGTTTCAGACTAGTTTCAGACTGGTTTCAGACAGGTTTCAGACTGGTTTCAGACTAGTTTCAGACTGGTTTCAGACAGGTTTCAGACAGGTTTCAGACAGGTTTCAGACTGGTTTCAGACTGGTTTCAGACTAGTTTCAGACTAGTTTCAGACTGGTTTCAGACTGGTTTCAGACTGGTTTCAGACTGGTTTCAGACTAGTTTCAGACTGGTTTCAGACAGGTTTCAGACAGGTTTCAGACTGGTTTCAGACTAGTTTCAGACTGGTTTCAGACTAGTTTCAGACAGGTTTCAGACTGGGTTCAGACTGGTTTCAGACTAGTTTCAGACTGGTTTCAGACTAGTTTCAGACAGGTTTCAGACAGGTTTCAGATTGGTTCCAGACTGGTTTCAGACTGGTTTCAGACAGGTTTCAGACTAGTTTCAGACAGGTTTCAGACTGGTTTCAGACTGGTTTCAGACTGGGTTTCAGACTGGTTTCAAGCTGTGCTGACTGGGATGAATCTAGATGCAATAATCTCACGCTCCTCGGCGGTCTTCTTTCAGGCGTCCGACAGCGAGAGTCTTCTGTCTCTCAGCGCCTCCTCTCCACCAGCCACTCCTCCGTAAAGAAGCCGACTCTCGGCCACAAGCCGGTGTTCCTGCAGCCGATCAGCAGCTGCTCGGTGCCGCACGGCGAGGTCGCTCGTTTCCACGCCTGCGTCTCCGGCACGCCGCGGCCCGAGATCAGCTGGTTCCACAACGGGAGCCCGGTGCTGCCCACCAAGAACGTGGTGTTCCACTTCGACGAGGCCACGCACACCGCCATGCTCCTCATCGTGGACGCCTTCCCAGAACACGCCGGAGCGTACACCTGCAGCGCTGCAAACACCGCCGGGGAGGTCGTCTGCACCGCCACGCTCACCGTTACCACCGCACAAGAAGAAGAAGGTAACGGTGGGATGGATGCAGCCAGACTTCCTTTGTAAAATCAATCCACTTCCTGCAAGATTAACGCTCCTCCTCCTGTTCCTCCAACACTGCCAGGGATGTCCTGAACACGTCTGCCAAATAAAGAGCGACTTAAATGTGTTTTAAATGATTAGATCCTTGTCGCATCAGAAAGCACATTATTGACTTCTATCTATTTAAGTTTCAAAGTCCCAGGCTCCTCCTTCAATGTAAATACAATATTATTAACAATAAGAAGAGACATCAAATAGTCTCTAAGATCTAACGAATTCATTTCCTAAACCTATACCTCCTAGAAAGATCCTCTTCCTGTGAGATTAACGTTCCTCCAACACCTCCAGGAATGTCCTGAACACGTCTGCCGAATAAATACTTAAAGAGCGTCATACATATGTTTGAATCCTCCTGATTTGATCCTAGCATCAGGAACCACATTATTGACATCTATCTATTAAAGTTTCAAAGCTTTATTGTCATATACACAACAGCTGAAGTCCCAGGCTCCTCCATCAATGCAAAATACAATACACTTAAGATAAAGAGACATCAAATAGTCTCTAAAATAGACATTCATTAATAGAATCATTGTGCAAGGTAACGAATGAACTTCCTAACCCTCCTAAAAAGATCCTCTTCCTGCCAGATGAATTTGCCCTCCTTATAGTCCACGATGAACCGAAGCACTCTGCAAAGTGTGTATTTAAAAAGAGCTTAAAATATCCTTTAAATGCCCCTCCGATGATATACAAACACCTACGCCATGGCTGCATCCCACCCGGTGTGAACAGCGATCTGTCGGGACATCCCTCCCCAGCTCTGACTAACCCAGCCGCCCTGACGGAGGTCTCACTGTGTGTTTGAATCCCGGGATGATCACCTCTCCACCTTCCTCCTCACTCCTCCTCTTCCTCCGTCCTCACTCCCTCTCCCGCTCAGGGAAACTGCATGAAACTCTTGATTATAACCTTCCTCCGTCCTGCAGGAAACCCTTCTGTATCCCCGCCCTGTGTTCCTGTCCGTAATACTCCACCGTGTTTCTTACAGTGTTTGATTTCTCCCTTTGCCCAAAACATGCTGGTTCAAACCCAGTAAGAGTCACAGACCTGGTGGACTCAAATGTATTTGCTTTATGTGTTTGGCTCCAGTCTATTAGTTTACTTCCGGCACATAGTGACATCACTATGGACCACTCGCGCTCCTATTGGCTAGCGCTCCAACACATCGTACGTTATTTTGTAAAAGTATAACCTCTATGACCAAGAATACATTTTTTATAATGTAACTGCATTTAGATGTACTCTCAGAGAAGCTTTACTTTCAAGGTTGTTGTATCAGACTCAACTCATGGAGCCCAAACACAGAAGGAGAATCCTGTTGAGTCAAACAAAGAAAAAGTAATCAATGTGTAAATCCGGTTCTTCTTTATGGGAATGAACACGTGACAGGAAATGTTTTTCAGACCCCCACTGCAGTTATTAAGATAAATGTGAACTAACGCCGTCTCTTCCCCCCACAGTGACTCACGTGAGGGAGCAGATCGAAGCCGAGATCGAGCAAGAAGTCAAAGGTAAGGCCATGTCAGATTCCTGGTTAAAAGCTCCAGATAGTTATCACACCTGAGCATTTGGTGTACAAATTCGGGACAGTTTGACTAGATTTCTCTTTATAAAGATCTATTTCAAAAGTGGTCTGTCGGCAGGGAACTTTAAACCAAGCTTTCAGGGGACGTTTAAAGTGAATACAATGTTGAAAAGTGGAGATAAAAACCGATGCATGTTTAAAGGGTTATTTGGATTATAGTTGGCCTGCACCCACAGACTGCTTTTAGAGTTTTCTAACATGCCCTTATGTTGAACTGTCCCTTTTTAAAGGTCTTCCACAGTAGCATGTCCTCTTCATGTGTGTTGATATAAACTCTGTATTCTTCTTCCTGCTCTTGTTCTGATCATATTTCATGGGTCCCCCCAGGAGAGCCCTGATCAAACTTGCTTGTTCCAGTTTCTTTTGACTCCTTTGCGTTTTGCATCCAAAGAAACGTTTCTCTTTTTGGCATGAAGGTTCTTCTGATCTTTTCCCAGAGAAAGGCGCAGGACGCGTATCTTTTAAGGCTTCCGGACTGGCTTTGCCCTTTAAAAGATATGGAGGTTCACTGCATCTGGAACTGACATCGTCCTCCTGCAAAATATTTCTTAGCCTGGCTTGCAGATAGTGGGATGTGATTCCTGTGGTTTGCAATAAATAACACCAGTAAACTATATTAGTTCGAATAAACGCCTTCTCACCCAATTTTACAGCTTCATTTGTTTAAGATTTTGGAATATAAGATATGTGAGAGCTTTGCCTCTCACATATACCTGTGCATTTATTTCCTCAGAAGTTTAAGGATTAGAAAGGGCGTTTATTCTCCTGTCTGCAAGTCAGGTAAGGAACATTCTAGTATAAAGCCAAAGCAACTATCAAAAAGTAAAAAAACAACCGAATGTAAGCAGCCAGAAAGAAAATGCTTTTTAATGATAATAAAATAATTTATGTTTTGAAGAAATTTCCACAGACGAAGGATCAAAACTTCCTGAAGGTTTCTAATAAAAAGAATCAAGTCTTGCGTTTATTCGAACAAATATGGTGAGTGAAATTATTTCTTATGGCATTGTGACCCCCAGCATGCATTTAATATTTCCATTACTGATTCATTCAAATCCTTTTCTCTCGTTTTACCCCCCGAGGCTGCTGTTCTGACCGATGTGTGTTTATATTTGCAGAGCTGTTTTATCACAAAGAGGGAACGCAGCAGAGCGGCAGCGAACTCACCGCCACCCGGCAGCTGAGAGGAGCCTTCTCCGACACCGAAGACTTCCCCGATCAGGGCCTGGTGTCGGCCAACCGCTGCTCCAGCAGAACCTCCTCCATTAGCTCCTGGACGGAGAGCATCAAACCTTCATTCACCAAAAAACTTAAATTCCAATCAGTCCTAGAGGGAGAAGCAGTAGAGTTAAGGTGTAAACTGGTTGCATGTCCTCAACCCACCATCCTTTGGTTTCATAATAATAAATCTATCCCTAAAGATCGTAGGCGTAGGGTCGGTACTGAGAGCAAAATGCACTTGCACACGACCAGTTTGGTTATCGATTGTATCAGAGAGAAGGACTCGGGCAGTTATAAGGTAATGGCGTTTAACTCAGAGGGTTCTGCCGAGTCCACAGCATCACTTCTAGTGTCGCTGAGGGAAGAGCAGTCTGCTAACTACCTGGGCTTTGTTAAGCGCTCTGCACAAGCCCATGCAAGTGCAGAAACCATGGCCGAGCAGAGGAAAGAGAGGAAGTTCAGGGTGGACCTCAGGTGCGTTGGGTCTCCGTTTGACAAGATGTCTAAAGTTCATCAGAGGCGTTCTCGCTCTGTGGACTCTCTGGTGCGTACAGTTTACTTCAAATCTGGTTCTCATATGAAAGAAAAAGAGGTAACAGAGAAAGAGTCCAAACGTTTGGAGACCGCCTCAGAGCGCGCGCTGTCTCCTCCCCCAATGTTTGACAGGTCCGAGCGTTTTAACGACCGGTTCAGCGATATCTACTGCGACCGGCGCACCGGGGCCAGGTTCAGTGACAAGTTCAGTGACAGATGCAGCGACAGGTACAGCGACAGGTTCAGTGACACAGAGAGTCTTCACAATGAGGTGAGGACTAAACTTACAACGCTCCAAAAAGCTGTGAAGCAGAAGAAGAGGCTTTCTATCTCCACCATGTCCTCTTCTGAGTTTGAGTCAGAATCAGTTGCCAGCGAGTCGAGTTACGCCGACTACGTGGAGAGGCTCAGGGTGAAACCGGCCTCTCTGCCCGATGTTCAGCAATTCAACCGACCCTTCGATTCGGGGGAGGGTCCGAGTGAGTTTAAAAGTAGAAGCTCAAGCAGGGATCCGTCGAAGCCGCGTTCAAGGCATTCATTTGAGCCTCAAACCAGAACCAGGGCCATTCAGATCATGAGAGGTGAGCCGTTGGATACCATGGTGTCAGAAAGGAGATCAGGTGACACACGGCAGGGTAAAAAGGTTGAGAGTTTTTTGGAATCGCGGGCAGAAGCTAGATACAAGCAAATGGTAAGTGAGTCAACAAAGGTCGAGCAACGTAACCCTGAAGTCCAATACTCTGAAGGGTTAGCGTTCCCTGGAACATCCACGTACACCGAAAGCAGTGGATCTGTTGATCTGCCAAAAACAGACACATCTAGCAGGGAGAAGTTCCTCAGTGGAGAAGCATCCGCTGAAGATAGATCCACAACGGAAACAGGTGAGCAATATGAAGAGGAGGGTGAAGGGGGGTCTTTGAGGGCTCACTATGAGAAGAGCCTGGACGAAGAGAGGATGCAGTGTGAGGAAAAGCTCCTAGCCCTGCGCATCAGAAAATGGCAGCATGGGAGTATGATGGCAGAAGAGAAGACGTTTCACCCTGAAACTGATCTGCCAACCCCTGCACAGATGCAGTACATGGAGCCAGCGGGGCACATGCACACCCAACAGCAAGCGACACAATCAGTAACTGGAGAAAGTGAAACCTCATCTTTCCATAAATCACCCAGAGTTAAGGCAAGGATGGTAGATCCTGAAGCTACAACACCAAGATCACCTCAAGTAAAAGCCAGAGGAGACGAAGCAGCAATGTGTGCCACAGCAGAAGCCGAATCAGAAGAAGTAGGGGCACACCTAATGCTGGCACCAACATCTCCCAGGGTAAAAGCAAGAGCAGACATGGAAGTGGAGTTGTCGCCAAGAGCAAAAGCCTGCGCGGAGGACAGACTCGGAGAATCACCCAGGCTAAGGCAGGCCAAAACTACCAAAGAGAGGTTCCTTGGTACAGGTGCAACACCAGAAACAGGTGAGCAATATGAAGAGGAGGGTGGAGGGGAGTCTTTGAGAGAGCAGTATGAGAAGAGCCTGGATGAAGAGAGGATGCAGTGTGAGGAAAAGCTCCTAGCCCTGCGGATCAGAAAATGGCAGCAAGGGAGTATGATGGCAGAAGAGAAGACGATTCACCCTGAAACTGATCTGCCAACCCCTGCACAGATGCAGTACATGGAGCCAGCGGGGCACATGCACACCCAACAGCAAGCGACACAATCAGTAACTGGAGAAAGTGAAACTTCATCTTTCCATAAATCACCCAGAGTTAAGGCAAGGATGGTAGATCCTGAAGCTACAACACCCAGATCACCTCAAGTAAAAGCCAGAGGAGACGAAGCAGCAATGTGTGCCACAGCAGAAGCCGAATCAGAAGAAGTAGGGGCACACCTAATGCTGGCACCAACATCTCCCAGGGTAAAAGCAAGAGCAGACATGGAAGTGGAGTTGTCGCCAAGAGCAAAAGCCCGGGCGGAGGACAGACTCGGAGAATCACCCAGGCTAAGGCAGGCCAAAACTACCAAAGAGAGGTTCCTTGGTACAGGTGTAACACCAGAAACAGGTGAGCAATATGAAGAGGAGGGTGGAGGGGAGTCTTTGAGGGAGCAGTATGAGAAGAGCCTGGATGAAGAGAGGATGAAGTGTGAGGAAAAACTCCTAGCCCTGCGGATCAGGAAATGGCAGCATGGTGTGCGAATGTCAGAGGAAGAGACACCTGAAACGGACCTACCTGCAGAGACACAGTACATGGAGCCTGAAGGGCACATGAACCCCCATCTGGAGGCAGTGGATAAGAGAGTGACTGTAGAACATGCTGACATGTCGGCACCAAAGTCCCTTAAACAGAGTCAAGATGAAACCTCTGCCCCCTCGCCTAAATCCAGAAGGAAATCTAGACAAGGAGATTTGGAAATTGAGGCTTCAATGGCACACAAATCTCCCAGAATAAAAGGAAGAGCCGTAGAAGTAGGAGCATCACCAATAACTAAAGTCAGAGCAGAGAAGATGTTGTTTGAGAGGACAACAGAAGAACGTGAGCTCCAGCTGTCGAGAGAGAACTTATCCGAGCTGAAGAGTGAAAGTGAGAAGTTTGTCAGTGAAGAGGAGGCTCTGAATCAGCGGATAATGAAGTGGCAGGAGAACGTTTTGATGGAACAAGAGGAAGTTGTCAAGCCGGAATCCGACTGGGAGGAGGGTTACTCTAAGATCCAGGCGGAGAAGACCACAGACGTCGGAAGAGAATCAGCTCCTCAACCTGAAGTGGTCCGAAGCAGGAAAACCTCCTCGGGCAAAACAGCCAAAGAGAAGTTCCTCCAGAGCGTGACGGTTCCCGCCGGTTTCCAAGATCAGCTGGCTGAGAGTCTGCAGTGGCCGCCTGCTGAGGCTCTGCCTACAGAGGGCCGGGAGACCAGGCTGCAAAGGGATAGTGAATACTTTGTTAGTGAGGAGGAAGCACTTGCTCAGCGCATCCTGAAGTGGCAACAGGATGGTGTCGAGCAAGAGGAGGTAGCTGAACTGGAGTCCGAGTGGTCTTTGGACAATCAAGGAAAACAGCCTGGCTCCGGGATGCTGTCCCATGGTGTCCTTTCTCCTTCAAGTGAACTTCCACCTCCAACTCTTGGTGGTGGAGCCTCGTCAACAACTACTGCCGGGTACGAGCACGCTACTATTGGTGAGTCTTCTTCCATAAGAAGGCAAACCCCTGCATATGCTGGTCTACCACACCAGCCCAAAGGAAATGATAGAATGGGTCTGGAAGCTTCACCATTTCAGAGTTACTCTCCAACCCAAACTACTACTGTGCCATTTGAGAGCCCAGATAAGCCTTCAGGAGAGTTTTCACCACTCGGGAGTCACTTTCCACAGGAGGAAGTGGGCAAAGATGCAGAGATGAGTCGGAGCAGGCAGGAATATGCAATGACTGCAGTTAAATCCATCAGCAAACGTTTCCAGTCAGATGTAAAAGAGGAGAGGGTGATGAGAGAGGAGACGGGAACTAACAGAGAGAGCAGCGATCGGAGACAACAGAAAGATTTTGCAGGTGTTAAAAGAGAGGAAGTAAGCAGAGAGTCCATTAGGTCAAAACAGGGTGGAGACACGAGTGAAGAAAGCATTGAACTCGGAGCTATCAAGAAGGACGAGAGGAGAGTCCAAGATGAGGCAGATTTGAAAGAATTTAATAGGATGAAGGAAAGGGAAACAAGTGCCGGGGGATCCCGTCCAGTATTTGTGAAAGAAATATCTTCGGCTCAAGTAGAAATTGGTGAGATGACAGAGTTTACCTGCCAGTTCCAGGGTGACCCTCTGCCCACCGTCACCTGGCTCAAAGACGGACACCAATTAGCCCACAACCCTGACTATGATATCATGAGCAAATCTAACACATCAAAGCTCACCGTCTTCTATCCAACTACAGACCACGAGGGGACATACGACAGTGTCATAACCAATAAACATGGCAAATCCATCTGCAGCGGCACTCTCGAAATCTCTGACAAAAAGGTGATGAGAATGTCAGTGGCCACACAGGAAGTGGTAGTTACGGAGGGTGCAGAAACCCAGGAAAGCTTTATCGAAGCAGAACTTAAGACCTTCACGGATTCAGGAAAAGCGACGTTACACGTGCCTCAAGCGGTGATCCACAAACGCCGCTCCTCGGATGAGTCTTTTAGCTCCTCACCTGTAGAAATCAGAATCACCGCCGCCACGCCGCTCCCTGAGATGAGAGAGGACATCAGAGAGGACGAACCTCAGGAGGTCCCGGAGAAAATCTCAGAAGTGCCAAGCGACGAGGGTGCATCTCAGACTGTCAAACACAAATTCACTTTCTCATTCGATACGGCTGGTGAAGCTCCTCACGCTGTCAGCGAATTTGAGAATATCAGCTGTTCTGAGGGCAACATGGCTGTGGTCACAGGTACCTCTGAACCTGTGCAATTTGCAGAGGGCGCTGGTTTTACTCCAGTAAGGAGGTCTCCTGTTGGCTCAACCGAAGATGCAAAGAAAGCTGCCATCATTCACACTAAAGACACTATCACTCAGAGTTCACAAGCTCCATCAGAGTTGGCCAAAGCCCCAACATCCAGACCCAGTATCTCCAGAGAGCCTCCAAGTGTATCCGGATGTGGTCTGCAGGCTTCGGCTGCTGTTATAAAAGTCTCTCAGATTAAACAAGCTTTTGAGTCGGAATCGCCAGTTGCATTACAGACCCAAAGCTCTCCTGAGGAGCAGAGAGAGGCAACACATTTCCCTGAAGAGTTTATACCCGCAGTGGCCATTTCCCTTGACCAGCAGGAACAAGTCATTGACACCCTGCCTGCAGAAGATGCAGTTTGTCTTGCTACTGCTATGACAGGAAATCCCAGTTCTCCCAAAGCTCTTCCTGACTCACCAGAGGCCTCCCATCCAACCTCCTCTCTGCAGAAAGAACGCAAGATCTCTGGGATATCTAGGGATGTTGAACAAGGTGCAGTTTCAGCAGAAAGCCATGGCGAACTTACACAATTTGTGGAAGAAGTACAGGAGTCTCCCGACTTGGTCAGGCCTAAAGCACAGAAACCAGCTCCATTAACAGAACAAGTGGAGGCATGTGAAATGGAGATGCTGAGGGATCAGCCTGTGCGTACATTTGACAAAACTGGCAGCTTTTTCCCTTTCAAGCCGGATAAAGTCCCTGCAGTAAAACGCACTGTTAAGACTTCAGCTCCAGTTGAAGAAGCCGTCAAGCCTAAAACCATTTCTAAATCTCTCAAACATGAGAAACAAATTGCAGTAGAAGGGTCTTCCTCTCATCACAGTGAGGCTGAAGTTGACAGTACTTTACATTCTGGCGAGACGCTGGTTTCAAATCCAGAGCCCTCCTTGGACAGTGGTGTCTTCCTCAGTATGCCAGAGTCCCAGGCTGACGTGACAGAGGTAGCAGAAGAAGTGGCTGGGGATGAAGTTGAGCCTCATGTACAAATCAAGAGTGAAGATGGGGGGATTGAAGTCATGGAGCCAGAACCTGCAACACTTGTTGTCGAGCCTAAAGGAGGCAACAGTGTTGAACCTCTTGAGGAAGCTCCAGCTGCTGCTGAGGGACCTCAAAGGCAGGTTGCATCTTTACAGGAAGGAGTTTTGGACAAAGCTGAAGCTGAAGCTGGAGGAGCAGCAGCAGCTGGCTCAATGGAGGAAGAGGAGGTAACCTTTGGTGCTGTGTATGACTTTTACAACCCTCCAACAGACTGGGGAAGACCCCTGTCCCCTGAGTCTGAGATGTCCATAGAGATCGGCAGCACCGTGAGTGAGGACCTAGCCGAGATGGCCGAGCGGTTCTACACCCCAGGCTCTTCCACCGAGGTCTCGCAACCAATTGCAGAGTCCTTCCAAACCCCCGAGTCTCACATGTCCTTTCAAACTCCAAGTTCGGATACTTCTGGTGGGTTTAGGACCCCTAAGGAATACCCCTTCTCCCCCATGGATCATAAGCGACCCTCGACAGGAGGCTCCAGCGAGAGGTTTTTCTCACCAATGCAGTTCCTGATGTCTCCCGGTGACGAGGGCATTGAGACAGTGGATGACAACCTATACCTCACCAAGGGACTAGGACCTTTAGGCCTGTCAACCCTTCAGGAGAAAGTGCAGGGAATCCCTCCGGCCTTTCTCAAACCTCTCGTCAAGAAAAGAGTGTTTGAAAATGACTCTCTAACGTTTTACGCTGAGGTGTTTGGCCTGCCTTCCCCTCAGGTGAATTGGTTCTGCAACGGAAACCAGCTGTTGGCCAACGACAGAGTCAAAACGGAGAGAGATGGTGATAGCATCTCGCTAACAATTCACAATGTCACAAAAGCTGATCAGGGGGAATACATCTGCGAGGCCGTGAACTACGTTGGGGAAGCTAGAAGTGTTGCTTTAGTTGTTGTCGTATCGCAGGAAGTCAGGTTCATGCCGGCCCCCCCTAATGTCACCCATCAGCATGTGATGGAGTTTGACGTTGAGGACGATGACTCCTCTCGGTCTACTTCCCCTCAGGAGATTCTGCTCGAAGTAGAGTTGGATGAAAGCGATGTGAAAGAATTTGAGAGGCAAATTAAGATCATCACCATTCCCGAATACACGGCCGACAACAAAAGCATGATCATATCTCTGAACGTGCTGCCGAGTATTTATGAGGAGTGCACTGTGGACTTTGTCACGCAGGAGCATGATGATTTGAAAATAGCTTTTGAGGTCACGGAGATGCCCCCGAGGTTTATTAATCCCATCTGTGACATGGAGACCCCTGAGGACACCGCCGTCATGTTCGAGTGCTCCCTGATGGGAATACCCTCTCCTATTGTGTCCTGGTTCAAAGGTGACAAGAAAATACCTCACAATAACAAAAAATACCTGTGTTCGTCTGACGGAGACAACCACTTCCTGAAGATCTGTAAAGTCACAACACAGGATAGCGGGGTGTATACCTGTAGGGCTATTAACGTTGTCGGGGAGACTCTGTGTCGGGCGTCTCTGGTCGTGTTGAACGCCAAAGCTTTCTCAGGAAAGACCAGAGGCAGGGAGTTGACTGCTGTGTCTCTGGGAAGCGCCAAAGTTCAGCCGCAGAAGTTCGATTTGGTGGTTGGCAACACGTCGTTTGACAGCGAACAGGTCTCTGAAATTGAACTTGAGTTTGAGTTTGAGCAGGAGGCAGATGAGTCGCAGCGGGCGGTGAGGCTGGTGGCTAAAACCGACCACGAAATGAACGAGCAGGGAGAGAAATACGTTAGCATTCACTTTGACGTGTTTGCTGAACCGGCAAAAGATGACAAGATAGAGTTCAAAGGAAAGTCCTCCGATATGTGTAGCTTCCAGTTCCTGGTGACCGAGACGCCCCCTAAGTGCGTGATCCCGTTGACTAACATTACCGCAGCCGTAGGGACGCCAGTTATCCTCCAGTGTCTCGTTAGTGGTAAACCAAGCCCCACCGCAGAGTGGTACAAAGATGGAAACCCAGTCACAAATGGCAGGTGTATAATCCAGGAGAAAACTGCAGGCCATTTCAATCTGCTCATTACTAACGCAACCCAGAGTGATGGTGGGGAGTACAAATGCATAATCCAAAACACGGCCGGGTACGTTGAGACTGCCGCGCTGCTAAAGGTGTTTTAGAGGTTTGAGGTTCTGGGGCTGGTTGCACGAAGATACATTTACTACCTAATTCATGTTACTGTATATTGTTAATGCTTGACTTGTGTAGGGTTGTTTTGTGGTATTAAGGATAAACTACAAGCTGCTTTACTGCGATACATATATGACTAAAACTCATCGGTCATGAACTGGTCCCTGTTATCAGAACTTTTCCAAATGTTTACGTTTTCTTAATTGGCTCATGTTTAACCCTTCCACCAAGTTTCATAAAAATCAGTCCAGTCGTTTTTAACCAAGCCGAAGACATAAAGCTCCTGCGGATTTAATAAGTATGGCAACTACTTAACAGAAATAGAAAATATCTTTACCTTATGAGTCATTTTAAGACTTTTTGTTCTCAATGTTTGCTTTAAACTGTTTGCAAATCGCAATTACTTAAGCTGAGACTCTTCTTAATGAAGAGTCATCTTTGTGCAACCAGCCCGAAGTCATGTGGGATACACAGCGTCTTATTGCCAGCTGTGTACACTTTTTTAAGTTCTGGTAGACAATCTGGGTTTGCTGTTGTTTTCTGGTAACACTTTAAAGTGAGCTGCTTTAACATTAAATCACAGTATTTAGTCTTTACATCTCACTGACCTCAAAATACATCGAGAAGCTCAGAAAGGGTTATGAAGAAAAATAGGAATACATATCATTTACATGTTTAAACATTTAGTTTGTTAAATTAGTGACGAGAGCTGCACAGCCAGAGTAGATATGTTTTAAAATAATCTGCATTGGAAATTAAATCCAATTAAATGCATGTACTAGTTATAGTAGCTTAAATAAAAAAATAATACAACTTAAAATGTTAGTTTGTGTTTTAACATTTGAGATAAATCCCGTTATTGTGACACCCTTCATAGTTTTTGGTTTGAGCTGAAGGCAGTAGTTATTGTTAGGTCACATTTGACACAACTTACATAACGACAGTGTTTTTACAAAAAAGAATAGTTTCAAACAAGAAAGAAAACGTTGACATATTCATTCATTGCAGAAAACAAATTAATATTAACCCAAAACATTTTTTATTATAACAAATAGATTCAAAAATGTATTTAATTGACCCTTAACTTTCACAGCATTATTGATACTCTATTAGGAGAGTAATTCACACATTAAAATGTAATGCTGTCAACAAAGTCAATCTGGAAACTATCAAGAGCATTTTGTCCTAATTAGTTTTATGGTTTCTGTGGGATTTAGAACGTTTTTAGTGTGAAAGATATTTCTAGGATTTTAAAGCGAGCTGGTAAATCACAAGTAGAACACATTTTAAAAAATGGATAATACTGTGAAACTTTAAAAAGATGTTAAGTATAAGTTTTGAAGTTTTGTAAATATGTGTAATTTTAGGAGTGTATGAGTAGAAACAGGGAAATAAGTAATAAATAAATAAGATGGAAATTCATGGTGTATTTGTACAGACGTCATGTTGGTTTGTTTCAGAGTTTATATAATAAAATATTTAATGATTTAAAGTCAGAGTCTGAGTTTTCTCTTTTTGTTTTTCAAAGAGGCCGTATTCTGCTTTTTGTAGTTTGTTCTTTAGGTGGTAGTGCATGTCAATGGTCTGCAATGGATAAAATCCCTAGGTTGTGTTCCATAGTGATGTCACTATGGAACACAACTGTTGGCTAGCGCTCCAAGACATTGTACGTGATAAGGCTTCAGTAGAAGCTGCTGGGAGTCCCAGCAGCTTCGACTGAAGCCTTCCCCCACTCCGGGGACTTCCGGCCGGGGACTCCAGGTCCTAGCCAACTAGCCAACAGTTGTGTTCCATAGTGACATCACTATGGCAGTATACGCCGTGAAGTGGTTTGCGGCCTGCCAGTAAACCCAAAGCAGAAGAAGAAGAAGTGACGTCAGCGGCTTCATTTGCCTAATCCTCCCTCAGGGACTTATTCCAGTGTGAACGCGATCTGTACTAAGAAGTCTTTAGTTCTCATGAACTAAGTACGGCAAAGTACTTGGTGTGAAAACGCCTATTGCCAATATAATACAATTCCTGATTTTGCTGAGGTCCGTTTTGGCAAAAAAACGCTTATTACCAAAAAGTGTTTTATTTTTCTGATTTTATTTACAATCAGAAAAGTAAACTCCTTTTTTAAGCTGAGAAAATGTCCAAGAATCATAAACCGTTTGGGGGAATATTTATTTTTTACAATATGTTTATCTTGTGATGTATTTCATTGCTATTTTTTATAGTAGGGCTGTCCTCTCTCAATCAGTCATACATCATTATTTTATTTGGTTGTTTTCTTTTTTCATTTCTCCTTTTTTAGAATGTTTAGTAAGATTGCATTTCATTTTTATTAGTGATTTAAAATATGATTGATTGGAAAAATAATCCTAAATCTACCTTGAGTCTCTTTGGTTAAGGACAGCCCTAATTCTTGCATTTCCAAACTCAATGTTAATATTCGAGCTTCTGTGTTGTGGATATTGTTTTGAGTGATGCTCATATTTCCAACAGAGCGTACTAGCACCACCATCACCACTGCCGAGGAGCAAGAGGAGACCTACTACTCTGGGGTCCAGTTACCTCAGAAAACTAAAACACTTGAACTCACGCCAGAGTCCAAACGCTACTCTTCCTCTTTAGAGAAGAAAAAAGAAAAGCCAGTTTTCCTCAGCCAGCTCTCCCCGGCAGCGGTGTCCCCCGGGGAGACGGCTAGACTCACCGTTAGACTGTCCGGCTTTCCAAAACCGACCGTTAAATGGTCTCACAATGGAAAAGCGATTCAGAGCTCGTCCATATACAGGCTGATAGAGGAGAAAGAGGAGTATACGTTAGTCATCACAAAGGTCACAACCGAGTATGAGGGCGAGTACTCCTGCACCGCCACCAACCGATTAGGCCAGACAACCTGCACCACGTACCTCGAGGTTAAGAAGCATGATGTTAGCCAGGCGGAGAAATGGGTAGAGAAGATGTTTAAGATCACGGGTCAACCTCCAACGTTCACAGTTCAGATCCAACCTGTGCGCTGCTCAGAGGGAGGAGAGGTTTCCTTTAGTTACAAAGCCAGTGGTGATCCAATGCCCGATGTGAGGTGGTTCAAAGGGGCTTTCCAGATCCAGCCCAGTAGAAACTGTATCGTTAAAGCCAACCCAGATGGATCTGGCTTTATCAATATTAAGAGCGTCAAACAGGAAGATAGCGGCCTGTACACGTGCAAGGCCTCCAACCAGTTAGGTGAGGCGTCCTGTAGTGCAGAGCTTGTTGTGTTCAGAGAAACTGTCTCTGTTTCACGGAAACAGGAGCAGGTGACCACGGTTCAGAAGAAAGGCTATAAGGTTTCAATGACAGAACAAGCAACAGAGTCTCGTCTGTACCAGGTTAGCCTCCCGGGTCAGGACAGATCCAGGTCTGATCAGATGGTTTACACCATCGGGACTGAAGACCGGCAGGTCATTCCCAGTGAGCAAGTGGGCTCGCTTAGAGAACTAGATATCTCCGCCGCCACTATCCACCGTGAGCAGCTGACCCACCAGGCAGCAGTGCTCCAGTCTCATGAGGTAGAGGAGCGGGTGTCGGTGGTTCCCACCCACCCAGCTCAGGTTTCCACAGTCCCTGTGAAGCAGCTTCACATGGCGGCGTTTACGTCCTCCGTCGAGGAGAGTCAGGACTTCACAGAGCAGCACTGTGACCGCATTCTGAGCCCTGAGGTCATCGAGCTTCAGGCGGCTCGAGAGAGGAGGTCAATGGTGATGTCGGCTGTCGCTGAGGAGCTCACACCGCTGTCTACTGTTAGCACAGACCCCCTGTCCGACCGGAAGTCCGCTTCTGTCAGGCCCACATCAGAGCCTAAACATTTAGTCAGCGGGCATCAGGTCCAGTCACAGCTGCCCATCCTTAGAGAGCAGTCTCAGGAGATCCCAGAATCCCAGGCAGAGAAGGGTTATAAGGTTAAGGAGGGGATTAAGATTTTATACTCTGCCCAGTCTGCAGAGAAACGGGTGCTTTCAGAGGGCCACGCCACTGATTTAGCAACAGCAGATTCTGCTGTGAAGCCGTCTGTAAAGAAAGAACAGCACCGACCTGTCTTAGCGTCAGTTAGCGAGTCCAAACAGACTCTTTCCAAGGAGACTAAGTTCTCCATGCAGAGGCCCTCTGAGGAGACAGCCCATCTTTGTAAGGATAAAATCATAAAGGGCGCTCTAACTGCTGAAGAGAAGCAAATGCTCCAGGCTGAGCCCACACAGCAGCTTCCCAGTCTGGACAGTGCCATGTCAGTTCAGTCCCAGGTAGAAGGAGAGCAGTTGTTGCACCTGCAGGTGATCACAGATCAGGACCTCCTTCCATCTGAGAAGAGCTTCACCTGTGAGAAACTAGCAGCAGAGCAGGCAGGAGCCAGGAAGAGCCCGACTCTGCTGCATGCTGTTAGCCAGGACGAGCAAAGGACAGTAGTTTGTGAGGACACGTCAGCGTTCGAGGCAAAGGCTAGCTCCATGACCATCCAGCCCCAGAAAGAGTCTCGTACTCTGCTGCATCGGCAGTCAACCCAACCTGTGGAGGCGCTGCCCAAAGAGGGTATTCTCGTTATTGAGAAGCCTGACCAGCAGGTAGCGGCTCAGAAACAGGAAAAGACTAGAAGTCATGCAGCTACCTCAGAGGAGAGAAGGGAGCTGACAGCAGATTATCACACAGAGCTGGATTTGTCCGTGACCGGCATTCAGTCGCAACTCCGGACTGAGCCTAGGCCTCAGAACATCCTGCAGCTCTCCTTCCAGCCCATGACGCTCCCAAAGGAGACGCCAGTCACCTCGGATGTAAAGCAGCAGCGAGCTTTGGTGCAGAAGGAGGATCACTCGAACGTGATGCATGTCACCACTGTGGCGGAGAGTCGGGCCCTACAGGAGGGCCACACTGAGGGTCTTACAGCGGTGGATAAATTCACCTGCCAGATGGCTGTGGAGCCAAAACTCCCCACCGAGCCAGTCCAGATAGAGGAGAAGGAGATCTCCACTGAGAGTAGTGTCATTCTAGAGGCGGCCCAACAAGACTTTGCTGTTCAAATCCAGGAGGGCCAGTCAGTCAGGCAGTCCATCGTGATGGACGAGAAGCGAGTGCTGACCGGTGAGCTCTCTCAGGAGATCTCCAAGTCTAAGTCCACTAAAGTATCTGTCACCAGGCAGCCCAAACTGTCCCTTATGGCGTCAGAGTCCAAAGACACTACCTCTCTTCCCAAAGAGATGACCTTTGTGATTCAGATCCCTAAACCCTTCAGTCTGAATATCCGGCACCAGCTCAGAGACGCTCTGCAGTCGGCTGTGGCCAGCGACCAGCCGGTGTTACTGGCTGACGTCGTAGGGAGGTTGCAGGCTGTAGAAGTACAGGAAGTCAAGGTTCAAAAAGAGCCAAAGCGGGCCATGTTTACATACCTGATCACGACCACAGGTGCCCCCATGGAGATCACGCTGGCTATTGAGGGCAAATACCCTCAGACCGCTGACCTCAGGACTGAACTGCAGGCAGCTTTCCACTCCATAGTGTACCAGGAAGCCCAGGTTCTCACCTCGGAGCAGCCGGGCACTATGCAGCTAGACAAACCTCAGAGGGCGCAGGTCGCCTCGGCACACTCTAAGCAAATGCTGTCATCCATGGTGGAGACTGTGAGCGTGGCAGAGAGTGCCGTAGGTTTCACTGCCGTTAAATCTCAGGCTGCTGCACTGAAAACTGAGTCCAAAGTGACGGTTAAAAGTGCTTCAGCTGAGCAGCGGGTTGTGGTGCAGGAATCCAAGGCAGCAAAGATGGAGCAGACATCCCAAATCAAAGTTTCCACAGAGTCCCACATGGCTTTTGAGCAGTCGGTACAGGTGTCAAGGCAGGAAGTGAGGTCAGTTACCATGAAAAGCAGGGAGAAAGATGCAGGTGCGACTCTTTTAACCACAACCCTGCCTCCCACCACCGTCCCTACTGAACAGGTGGTGGGCTTTAGCATCCAGGAGCACAGGGAGGAGATCTTTACAGAGGAAATCACAGTATCCAGGTCAGAGCAGAGAGAAATCCCCGTTATAGTCGTCTCCCTCGAAGACATATCCATAGATGAGGATAGTAAAGTAACCTTTAGCAGCACCATTAAGTACGTCACAAAGGTAAACTGGTTTTTCAATGGGCAATTGGTCAAATCTGGCAAAGAGTTCACGTGTTGCAAAGACCACGACACATACACATTGGTTATCAACAAAGTTGTGAAGGAGAAGCATCAAGGAGAATATGTTTGTGAGGCTGAGAATGAAGCCGGCAGGACTACAACGTCTTCAAGACTCACTGTGGTCTCAAGAGGTTTGCTAACAGGATCAAATTATTCTTTCATTCATCCATTCATCACACTTCCTCCGAGAACGACTAATCACTCACTGGTTCATTCAAGACCTCACATGAAATTATGCTCTGGTCATTTTGGTCTCTTATTCATTTCATAGCTCGGCATGAGCACCTTCAGCGGGTCACTGGATGATACTAACTCACCATTTCTTGTGTCTTCCACCTCTTTGTATGATGCCTAAAGACCAGGATTGTCCCAGCCATTCAAATTTAGCTTCACACTTTGTAGCATCTCGCTTTAATGGTGGTCATGATCCTGGCCTTTAGGTAACTGTCATGGTGTTTCCATGGTCACAGGTTCCTTGTGTTTAAACCCATCACAATCCTTCAGGTCCATTCTCTCCACAATGTCTCTGCATGCTCTCAAGGATCAACCTGACATTGCTTCATCTTTCACAACCTTTCTCTTCCTTTAGCCTGAACCCTAGCCCCATGACTATCCTGCACAATGAAAGCAGTGAAATGATGGGGCTAATGTTCTTGCTATGTTTCTCCTCCACAGTCACTCCTGTATCCACCATTGTTCCACATTTCCTCCATTCCTGTTCCTGATATGTCAGTTGTTATTTTTAAGAGTTTCAGAGATTCCATGACTGACTTTTTTCCTTTTTTTGTCTGTTTGTGCCTCAGTGCCACCTGTCTTTAGGCAGAAAATCCAACCCTTGGACATAAACATCGGCGGACAAGCCAAGTTCGAATGTGAAATCGAGGATGCTCCAAGTGTGACTTTCAAATGGTACAAATCTACCGTCGAGATCAAACAGAGTGACAAGTACAGGATCCTCAGCCGCCACAGCAGCTCCTCCCTGGAGCTGCTGAACCCAATCAAAGCCGACAGCAGTGAATACACTTGCAAGGCTTCAAACCAGCACGGCACTGCCAGCTGCACCGCCTCGCTCATCGTCACCGGTAAGACCCTGATGGGACCTTTTTGTTCTCAATTACTGCTTTACAAGTGTCTGTTTGAGAGAGAGAGAATTATATGCATTTGTTTCCCCCCTGAATCCTTTATGGTGCAATGTGGAAATGATTTGTTCATAAATTGGATCTGGTGTCACATTTGGCAATATATAAACAGGTTGAGGATCTCTTGTTTAAAGCTGTTGAGATTCCACAGGTTCATTTTGATGTTGGTGTATTTTTCCCCCTTTTATTATACTAAATTCTTAATTGTATGTTCTACCTGCTCTCCATAGAAATGTACCCACCGGTATTTGTATCACAACCAGACCCAATGACTTTGTATGTGGGCAAACAGGCCATGCTCCAGTGCTCACTCACTGGGACATCACCCATGGAGGTTGTCTGGCACAAGGACAACATAGCCGTCTCCTCCGGAGGGAACTATGTCATGAAATGTGAAAAGAACAAGTATTCGCTTCAGATTCAAAGTCTTACTGTGGCTGACCAGGGGGTGTACCTGTGCAAGGCCTCCAACAGTGTTGGCACTGCTACGTTTACCACAGAGCTCAGGGTTGTCAACAAGCCCAGCTTTGTTCAGACCGTTGAGCCGGCGTCAGTCGCTGTCAATGACCCGCTGAGGCTGGAGTGCCAGGTGGACGAGGACACTGGTGTGACCGTCACCTGGACCAGGGATGGCAAAAAAGTCCACCAGAGCATGGATTGTAAACTGTCCTTTGAGGATAAGGTGGCTGTTGTTGAGATACCCAAGTCTAAGCTGAAGGACTCTGGGAAATATGTGTGCACAGCCGTAAATGAGGCAGGCAGCTCATCCTGTGAGGCTGAGGTATCAGTTCAAGGTAAGATCTTAAAGGTGATCTTTCCGTTAGATTTGATAAAGTGGATTACTGCTGACAAGCTGATGCTAACACTATGCACTGCTACCTTCTGTCTTTTGTCTTCTTTACGCACTTTTCTGTCTTTTGTTTCTTTCCTGTGTCTCTTCTGACAATGATCTTGGTGTTTTTGAACTAAAAACTCCTTTCAGAGCCCCCTACCTTTGTAAAGAAAATGGAAAATAAGATAACATGGAAACAAGGTATAGCTGCACGCTTACAGTGCTCCGTAAAAGGATCGCCTCAGCTGCACATCCACTGGTTCTGGAATGAGAGAGAGCTCAGTGATGGAGAACAATATAAAATATCTTTCAAGAGTGGCGTTGCCTCTTTGGATATACTGAATCTCCTGATCACAGACAGTGGGAGTTACACCTGTGAGGTGTCCAATAATGCCGGCAGCGAGAGCTGCAACACCCTTATAGCTGTCAAAGGTTTGTCAAGTCTTGCATTAAATTAACCCTCTGTTTAATTCAGGGAAGCTTTGGTATTAACTGCATACACCTTTTTGACTCTCAGAGCCACCGTCCATTAGAAAAGAGCTGCAGACAGTTGAGGCGGTGAAGGGAGCATCCACTCAGATGGAGTGTGAGATCGCAGGAACAGCTCCCTTTGAAATCAGCTGGGTCAAAAATAAGAAAGCCATCTCCAGTGATCAGAAACATAAAATAATCTCCCAGGATTCCTTATCAAGGCTGGAGATCCAGACCTTTGAGAGCGCAGATGTTGGAGATTATCAGTGTGTCATATCCAATGATGTGGGCAAAGTCACCACTAAGGCTGTAGCTAAACTTAAAGGTCAGTATCCCTGAGCTGATTAAAGGTGTTATTAGTTTCGTCTTTTAAATTCACTTCTTAACTATTGAAATGTTTCTGTAGAGCCTCCCACTTTCTCAAAGAGGGTTGAGAGTGCTACAGCGGTGTTGGGAAATACAGTAAGACTCCAGGGGACCATAAAGGGCTCGGCGCCCATCACAGTGAAATGGATGAAAGACTCTGAGATACTGAGAGATGACGATTCAAACATCAAGATGCTGTTTGAGAACAATGTTGCTAGCTTGTCGATAACGACCGTGGCCATCAGCCATGGCGGAAAGTATTCGTGCACAGCTGAGAACCAGGCTGGCCAACAGAAATGCGAAGCTACCTTGACCGTGCAAGGTTGGTTTCTGCAGATGCTTTGTATTTCCTATGTTGTTGTAGTTCTATAGGTTCTAGTGTCTTATATCGTATCTGTCTTATCCCAGAACCTGCGAGAGTGGTAGAACCTGCAGAGTCCATTCGTGTGACCGCAGGGGATTCAGCCACTTTAGAGTGCACAATCTCTGGAAGCCCAGACCTGAAAGTGAAGTGGTTTAAAGACGGGAAGGAGATGATCAGTGGCCGTAAATATAAGATGACTCTGAAGGACAATGTGGCCACCATGAAGATCCTCACGGCAGAAAGAGGAGACACTTCAGAGTATAAGATGGAAGTGTCCAATAAAGTCGGGAAAGACCAGTGCACATGCTCGGTTACCATCTTAGGTTAGCTCCCGGTTTTACTCTTCTTAAATATTTGTTCTTGCAAAATCTAAAGTTGTTGATTATGTTCATGACTAAAAGGAACCGGACTTTGACACACTGTATTCCCATGGACTAACATCAAGCTAAAGTCTTAAGCCTAAAACCAAACACAGGGTGCAAAGTGTTGTCTTTTAGATTTGAGTTGAGCGACTCTTTTTGAAAACTGTATGAAATTGTGATAATGCATGTTTTTTCTTCAACAACCAGATCGGATAATGCCTCCAACGTTCACCAAGTCCCTGAAAAGGGTTGACGGTAACATTGGTAATGACGTCTCCATGGATTGTAAAGTGTCTGGGTCCCAACCCATGACCATATCTTGGTTCAAAGACGACCAGGAGATCAAGTCTGGATCCAAATTCCAGCCTGAATTCAAAGACAGCTCTGCTTCGCTGAGAGTTATAAAGCTGGAGAAGGCCGACTCTGGAGTTTACAAATGCAGAGCAACCAATTCTGCCGGCTTTAAGGAAACCAGCGGCACGCTCTATGTCAAAGGTTATAAACACTTGGCTAATGTTGTGCTTTTATTTTTTTCTGTACAATCCTTGAGTTATTTCATGCTAACATGAAATGTATTTTTCTTTATTTCATGGCCTCTAGAGCCCCCATTGTTTACAGCAAAACCAAACAACCAGGATGTTAAACCAGGAACCACAGTTTCCTTCAAAACGGGCTTCACTGGAACAGCTCCGTTAGCTGTGAAGTGGTTCAGAGAGGAGAAAGAGATTGTGTCTGGAGGCTCATATTTCATAAAGAAAGACGCCTCTTCCAGCTCTTTGGAGCTAAACTCAGTGAAACCCAGTGACTCTGGGAAGTACACATGCCAAGTGTCCAATGATGCTGGGAAGATGGATTGCACCGCAGTCCTCTTTGTGAAAGGTGTTTACGCGTGCAGCTGCAAGAACATGTATTGACATCAATGTCTCTTTGGATACTAACATAATGTCTTCTGTCTGATAATGAATGTTAACCTCTTCTCTCAGAACCGCCCGTGTTCGTGAGGAAACTCGATGCGACCAAACTTGTTATCAGCGGCGACTCCGCCTTGCTGGAGTGCAAAGTAACGGGCAGCCCCGTCATCTCTTTTAAATGGTTCAAGGACGAGATGGAGATCAGCTCCAGTGCTAAATACAAAATGACTTTAACTGACTTCGTGGCCTCTCTGGAAATAGTCAACAGTGCAGTGGAGGATAGGGGAGAATATGTGTGTGTGGCGTCCAGCGAGGCTGGTAGTGACCGCTGCAGCAGCACAGTGACTATCAAAGGTTAGTTTCAGGAATCATTTCACTCCAATACTTTTAGGAAATGAAGAGTTTTATTGTGGCATTGAAGACCTTTTTTTCTTTCTTCGGTTCAAAGGACCATCAGCATTTATGTTTTTTACCTTGAGTTAGAAATCATTGTTAGCTAAACAAGTTGAGTTTTTCATTACGTATGCATACGAACAACGCTGTGACATGTGTACGGAAGAGCACTCCTGTATGACACACATAAGACACAAAAGCTATAAAGCAGAAAGTACAATACTACAGCTTTCAGTTATTCGGAATCATAACCCTAATGTTAGAGTTGAAAATCAGACTTCAAGGGGCCGTACGTTTGGGTTTTTCTAACCGAACACACCATTATCATGTAAAGACACCACACCCCCTGGTGGATGAGGACATCATTGCAAACCACTGTCGAGAGTGTAGCTTAAACTGGGCGTGGCCTTTCCATAGGGATAAGAAATCAGAAAAATAATCTTCATCTCCACAATAAAATTCTAGTTGAATCTTGTTATTTAGATTTTTTGGCATCATCATATGTCAAACCTGTATCCGCTGTTCTCTTCTAGATCCGCCATTGTTTGTGCGTAGCTTGGAGCCCAGAGATGTTGTGAAAGGCTCTGAGATGATGCTGGAGGGCCAGGTCTCCGGCACAGTCCCCTTCACTGTGTCCTTTTATAAAAACACTAAGCCGATTAGGAATGACAAGAGACACAGGATCTCAGTGAAGGACGACCTGATAGCGCTGCAGGTGCTGGCAGTGGAGGCAGGAGACGCGGGGTTGTACCAGTGTACTGTAGAGAATGAGGTGGGGAAGGCCTCCTGCGATTGTCAAGTAACGCTAAAAGGTTGGTTTAGAAGCTATTGACCATTTGATAATCCAACACGTAGCCTCGCAAAGACTCACCCGGAACTGGCAACGCTCAGAAGGCATTTGCTTAAGGATGCTTTGTTTCTTGATCAACTTAAAGTAAGGATCCTGAAAGATGTCTCAGAGGTTTTTACAATCTGTACAACACTGTTCACCCTCTATCCATAGATCCTCAATTCGGATCAGAGGAAATCTCTCATAGGTTGAAGGTTTCCAAATGTGGGAAGGACAGACTTGCTCTGTATATTAAGGGTAGACAGAAGTACCCTTTCTACACCCGATTAGACAAATATGTTGGACTTCTAGGGGCTAATTGTCGTTTGCTTCTGTTAAAAGAACAAGGTTCGACCTTCAAAATCCCAATCTTCAATGACCTCCTTTGACAGTTAGATGCGGTTGGGTTTCTATACATGGAAAGTCCACTAAAATACCACAGAAAAGACTGAGCTTGCAGGATGGGTTCTGACTTTGCGAGGCTAGTATAGAGAAGCCAGTATTAAATATAAAATGTTTCCCTGTAGAACCACCGTCGTTTGTGAAAAAGCTGGAGAACCTCAGCTCTCTGGTTGGCAGCGAGGTTTCTCTGCAGTGCTCTCTGAAGGGCTCTGAGCCCATGAGCGTGTCCTGGACCAAAGACAACCACGAGCTCAAAGAGGCTGAAAACATTCAGATTACTTACGAGAACAACACCGCGCTGCTGCACTTCAACAACCTGCAGAGCAAACATGGCGGCAAATACTCGTGCCAGGCGCAGAACCAGGCCGGCAGCCAGACCTGCTCTGCTGTGGTGACAGTCAAAGGTTTGTTAGGAACCTCGAGAACTCTTTTGATTGGTGCAGGAAATCCTATCAACTTGTGAAGTCACACATTTATAAGTTTACTCGCAGGAAATTTCCCTCAAATGGCCAACAAGGTGTTTAAGACATCGATAGAAATGATACGAATCATGACATTACGCCTTTTGAACTTTAAATTCCTCAACAGACATTTGTCGGACGATAATTGTACGACCTAACAAGTTGACAAGGACCAAATGCAACTCTCGAATCTTAACTCTTTCATTGACTTCAGTTATTGGTCAGATTTGAAATTCGTTGCTGACTGTTTTGTTTGGCGTCTCAGAGCCGGCGAAGGTCACAGAGGAGGCCAAGTCCATCAGTGTCACTCAGGGCGATCCGGCCACGCTAGAGGCCCGGTTCTTAGGCACCAAGCCGCTGAAGGCCAGATGGCTGAAGGCCGGCAAGGAGCTGAGCTCAGGCCAGAGATATAAAGTTCAGAGCACAGACACCAGCTCCGTGCTCAAGATGATCAAAACTGAGAAAGGTGACAGTGGTGACTACACCTTCGAGGTCTCAAATGATGTCGGACAAAGTTCTTGCGAGGCCACACTCACCGTCCTCGGTCAGTGGTTAATAAGTACCTAATATCAGTTTAATTTAATAACATCTAACTTTGAAGATTTGTTTCTCACCTCTCTCTTCCTCCATCTATGTCAGATCAAATCATTCCCCCTTCTTTTACGAGAAAACTGAAGCAGACAGAAGGTATCAAAGGATCGTTTGCTCATCTGGAGTGCCTTGTGTCCGGCTCTCTGCCGATAACCATTCAATGGTACAAAGATGAGAAAGAGATCCAGACTGATGAGAAACACAAAAGCACATTCTTTGAAAATGTTGCTTTTCTGGAAATCTCTAACCTAAACGGTAAAGAGAGCGGCAGCTACACCTGCATCGCTAACAACAAAGCGGGGACCGTGCAGTGCTCCGGCATCTTGTTCGTCAAAGGTTTGCACACACATGTAATATGTGGTATTCATCAGTAGGTACACAACGACACAAAGGTTTTTATCTCAAGCATTATGTCGTGTTTTCTCTTCCAGAACCACCATGCATTCTTGAAAAGCCTGAATCCATGAATGTGTTGCCGGGCTCAAAGGTCCAGTTTAATGTTCTGATGTCTGGCACGCCTCCGCTCACCACCAAATGGTTTAAAAACAGGAAGGAGATTATATCCAGTGCTGACTGCAATGTGGTCAAAGACAATACCTCAAGCTCTTTGGAGCTTTTCTTTGCAAAAACCTCTGACTCTGGAGAGTTTGTCTGTGAGATACAGAACGATGTGGGCTCCACTTCCTGTCAGGCTACACTCTTTGTGAAAGGTTAATATTCCCTTTGTGAAACTGAGTCAGTGAATATGTCTCCATCCATTTGTTCTTAAAGGAAATAACAGAATCTGTTTGATCCCTATACTGCATGCTGACCCTGGTTCTTCTGGTGCAGAGCAATCCACTTAAAGACAGTAGTGTTTTCACTGCTGTCGGAGGTGACTTTGAACCGTAGCACCATCAGCTTGCCTTTCAGTGGCGAGCAAATCGCCTGCAAATGGTACTCGAAAAAAGGGAACATTGAAACAGCATTACATTTACGAAGAAGAAATAAGTTGTTCATACAGATTTTAAAACATGGAATATATGGATCTTTTTGGATAACTCCAAAATGACAGGAAGTATTTCCATAAGCCTAAACTGTGCAAACAGGTTTCAGGCTCCGCCAGTCAAAGAGAAGAGGGCTCTTAAGAAACTCATCAAATCTCTCCCCAAAGGCTTTGAGCAACACTTGCATGGAAACATATTTTGTGAACTTCATAGAGATCAGTTTTTTTCGTCTTTGTGAAAGTCACATTTATCATTTTATGTTGTTCCTTAGAGCCCCCTAAGTTCACACGGACCCCCGCTCGGTTGTCCGTGGTCCGTCCCGGTCAGAGTAAAATGTTTGAGTGCCAGGTGACCGGCACACCTGAGATAGACATCTGCTGGTTCAGGGAAGGCTCTGAGATCAGCCCCAGCGATCGGTACAAGATGGTGTTTGTTAACTCTGTGGCCACGCTGGAGGTGTGTGGCGCTGAAACCAAAGACAGCGGGCTTTACTACTGCGAGGCCCGCAACGAGGCCGGCAGCGAGAGCTGTAGCATGGAGCTCAAGGTCAAAGGTTAGTCCAGTCAGAAGACTGAAAGCAGAGTTTGAAACATATAGGATGGAGGCATTGGTTCCCAAACACTTTAGAGGCCACGTGTTCTAGATGGTTTTATCTAGGCAATTGATTGCTGTTGTACTTGTAGACACTTTACCGCTAGGAATTGTGGTCCGGAGTCGGGCTGGGCGATCATTTAATATTATCTTTTTATTTGGTCAATTGAATTATAATTTGCAAAAATCAAACATACCTACTAACCTTTTCTTGATTTAAGATTACAAGGCATTTACTAAATAAATGGTGAGGAAATATAATTTTAAGATTTCTGTTTCACTTCACACTTTCCATTAGCTCCGTTAAATGCCAGAAGCAAACTGGTCTCCAGCTGAACTGAATTTAAGTTTGGAATTAAATGAGATAATACCTTTCAGTTCACACAGTTGTGTAGAACATTGGTTTAACCAGTTGGTCATTCACTTATCAGAAAACATGCTATATTCAGTATATTGGGTTTATAGCGTTATCTAGATATGAAATTACCCTTGTTTTCGTTTGTTTTTTTGGCATATCACCCAGCCCTAGTTGATGTTAACTTGCTTATTGGGTCAGTCCAAGTTCTGACTTAAACCATATAGAAACTGTTATTTGGGAAACTTTGCCTCCTAATGTAAACATAGTCTGCATGTTAACATATTGAGGAAATAATCCACTGTTATGAAAAAAGTTAGTTAACAGTTTGTTTTCCCGTCTCAGAACCGCCATCATTTATTAGAGAGCTGTCTGCGGCGGATGCTGTGAAGGCCTCCAGCGCCTGCTTTGAGTGTCAGGTCGCTGGGACCGGTCCATTTGAGATAACATGGCACAAAGATGCAAAGGAGATCAAACCAAGTGCTAAGCATGGCTTCTCCCAGCTGAACGACACTGTGAGGCTAGAGGTGCACAAATGTGACGCTGTAGACGTCGGTGAATACCAGTGCACGGTTTCTAATGAGGTCGGGAGCTGTGCTTGTAAGACTACGCTAAACCTCAAAGGTCGGTCTAATCAGAAATACAACTCCACATATCTATCTGAGGTAAAAACTCAACGTTTCCTTTAACACTTCATTGTTTTGTATTGTAATAGAACCACCAACATTTACCCAGAGGCTCGAGGACACTGCCACTGTTCTCGGTAAAATGGCAGAGTTTAGGTGTGCTGTGAAGGGCTCTCCAACTCTCTCTGTACAATGGCAAAAAGATGAGAACTGGATTTTGGAGAATGCAAAGATTGAGAGAACATTTGAGAACAATGTGGCCACTCTCAGGATTCCCGCCTGTGAAGCAACACATGGCGGGAAGTACACCTGCCAGGTGGTAAACGAGGCCGGGCAGGAGAAGTGCTTTGCCACGCTAACTGTGCAAGGTATACTTTTGCTAAACTAATGATGGCTTCCAATCTTTTCTAACACTGTTGGGAACGTTATAACTGTTTGAATGTCCTTTTGCATTGTAGAGCCGCCTCAGATCACAGAAAAACCTGAAGTGATTAAGGTTACAGTCGGAGACCCAGTCAGTCTGGACTGTAAGGTGACGGGCTCCCCTGAGCTCAAAGTGAAATGGATGAAAAATGGAAAGGAGCTTCAGTCCATTAGGCAGCATAAGCTGACCTTTGAGAACACAATGAGCAGCCTCAGGGTTCAGTCGGCTCAGAAAGAGGACGAAGGAGAGTATGTGTTCGAGGTGGCAAACCACATCAGTAGCTGCAGCTGCAAAGTCAAAGTGATCGTTCTAGGTTGGTGTGCAAAACGTAAAACTCCTGTAGTACATGTTGAATAAAGTCTAATGACTTTTCCTAAAATGTCTTTTGGTAACAGAACAAGTCATTCCCCCGAGCTTCACCAAACCTCTGGTAGACATGGGGGAGATATTGGGCTCCTTTGTTCAGATCAGTTGCAAAATATCTGGTTCGCTGCCCATCTCTGTGGAGTGGCAGCAAGACGGGAGCAAAGTCTGTAGTGGTGTGAAACACAAACTGATCCAGCAGGACAACTCTGTGTCCGTGGAGATCGAGCAGCTAGAGCGATCTGATGCAGGATGCTACTCTTGCAAACTGACCAACGCAGCGGGGAGTTGTGAAAGCAGCGGATCCCTCATGGTTAAAGGTTAGACTTTGCTCTCCAACATGATTGGTCGTGCAAATCAAAGGTGAGTACCCTCTTTAACGTGATCCATCTTATTCTCTTCAGAGCCTCCCAGCTTTGTGACGCTGCCTGAGTCCCAGGCGGCTGTACCCAGCGGCAAGGTGCGCTTCAAAAGCACATTTAAGGGAACGCCTCCCTTCACAGTCAAATGGTTCAAGGACGACTCCGAGCTCATGACCGGGCCCTCGTGTTTCACCGGGCTGGAGGGGCTCTCTTGCTTCATGGAGCTCTACAAAGTGGGGGTCACCCACAGTGGAGCTTACTCTTGCCAAGTCAGCAACGATGCTGGTTCTGTGCGCTGTAGTGCAGACTTGACAGTCAAAGGTTGGCCTCTTTCAAAGTCTTGCGTGGCTGTTTTCATCTCACATCTGCATCGCTGGCTGAAAGTCACATTTTCCAGTTTCTGCCGTTCTTTCATATTCAAATCTGTTTGTCACCGCTGCAGCTTGTCGTCATTTGTTGCCTTTGTGATGCTCCTGCATTTCCCACCACCATCCTGTCTCTGCTGCTAACCCATCATCGTCAGCTTATCTCATCTGCCTGTTGTAACAACATCTTAAGTGACCCTACTTGCTGCCGGCAGCTAATATGTCTGTATTTTGGCTTTCCAGAACCCCCCGAGTTTGTGCTGAAACTCCCTGCCACTAAGTGTGTGAAGCAGGGAGAGTCCCTCCGCCTGGAGTGCAAAGTCAATGGCACAGCTCCTCTGAAAGTGACCTGGTACAAACAGGACACCAAGGTCACGGATGGGGGCAACTACAGGACATCATTTGTTGACTCGGTAGCAGTCCTGGAACTGCTGTCAACGAGCTTTAATGATGATGGAGTTTACACGTGTGAAGCTCAGAATGATGCTGGCAGTGTCAGCTGCAGCACCACCCTTAGCGTTAAAGGTCAGCCCCTTCCTGACTTCCTAATCCTCATTAGTCATCATTCATGGTCTTTCTGATGCACTGGCTCTTCAGTGTCCTGTTGTGTTGCTTGAAGCTGGAATACGTAACATTCAAGTTCTTTATATATCCGGTCTGCTGGAGAATCGTCACTTTGGTCCGAGACTCGTTTCTTATTTTGTGCTTTTGAGAGATGGTTCTCAGCTGGTTGGGTTGGCTCTTTCATCTCGATATACAAATAAAAACATGCCTCAAATAATCAGGAAGAATACACACTTTTCAACAATACATCCGCCATCTTAGCTATAATTCCATCGTCCTTCCACAACATCCCCGCCATTTTAGCTGTAGTTCTACCGAACATTCACACGTCCGCCATCTGGACTGTAGTTCCCGCAATTTTCACAAATCATCTGCCAGATTATCCGTAGTTCCAAACTATTCCACAATAGTCCTGCCATTTTAGCTGTAAAACAATTCCACATTAATTATGCAATTAGCTTTAGATACAACCAATTACACAACACTTTTCCCTCTTGTCTTTAGTTTCAAGCAATTCCACATACATTTTGCCATCTTTTACAGGATTGCCCCCCATTTTAATTGTAGTTTTATCCAATATGTTTAACTCTGCAGTCATTACTTCAGTTCCAATAGCCACGCACCACTTCCAAATCAACTCAGACATCTTAGTTGTAGTCCCAACAAACTCCTACAGCAAATTAAACTTCCGTAGCTGTAAATCCTTGGACTTGTTATTACTATTGCCATCTCTTAGTTTTCATTTTCACAAAAATCTGACATATAGGCTATAATTGCGCAAACATTCCCAGCTTGGCCATCGTGATGATCGTCCCACCGCGTTAGCTGCTTTTCCAAAAAAACGTAAAAGCTCGTTCTTAACAGTTGGCATTTTGCCACTGCAGAGCGCGAGAACTGAGAGCATGTTACGGGTTTCAGCTTTAAGACTTCATCATGGATTCTTTTGCCATGTATGCCTCTTTAACAGTTTCCTGATCTTTTTGTAGACGCCCCATCATTTACTAAAGTACCCCAGCCCGTTGAAGGGCTGAAGGGGAAGGACGTGAGTCTGTACTGCGAGATGAGCGGTACAGCTCCGTTCCAGATCACCTGGTTCAAAGACAGGAAGCCTCTGATGGAGAGCAGGAAGTATAAGATGGTGAGCGAGGGCAGCTCGGTCACGCTGCATGTCATTGGGATAGAGGCCTCGGATGCCGGCGAGTACGAGTGCAAAGCGACTAACAGTGTAGGAAGTGACACCTGCCAGACGTCAGTTAAACTCAGAGGTCAGTAGTGATAGTCTCAAATGAAAATCACAATCAATAGATTTTCAACTTACTTTGTCACATTGCTGACTTTCCCTTTTGCGCTGTTTTTCTCCTCTATTCAGAGCCGCCGTCGTTTGTGAAGAAACTGTCAAACACGACAGTGATTCTGGGGGAGGAGGTGACCATTGTGGCCACTATTAAAGGCTCTGAACCCATTACTGTGTCCTGGGTTCAAGACAAGGATCACATTCTCAGGGATGGTGACAACAGGAAAATCACCCTTGAGAACAACCAGGTCGCTCTTAAAGTCTTTAAGGCTGATGCAACCACGGCAGGCAAATACACCTGCCAACTCAGAAACGATGCTGGGAGTGTGGAGTGTTTCGCTAACTTGACTGTTCTAGGTTTGTAATCATATAATTCTCTCTTTCTCGTACAGTCTTTTTTCTCCCATCCTTCCTCCTGCAGGTTTGATTAAGAACGTGTTCTGCTTCTTCTCTGTTGTTTTCAGAACCCGCTAAGATAGTGGACAAGCCCGACGCTCTGAGCGTGACGGCGGGCGACATGGCCGCCCTGGAGGTCAAAGTGTGTGGAACCCCACAGCTCACACCCAAGTGGTTCAAGGACGGGGTGGAGCTGGCCTCCGGCAGGAAGTACAAGATCTCCTTTTCTCAGATGATTTCCAGCCTGAACGTCCTCTCTGCTGAGAAGGTGGACTCTGGAGAATATACTTTTGAGGTTATGAACGAGGTCGGGAAGGACCTAAGCAAGATTAACCTCACAGTCTTAGGTTGGTGTCATTTACCTAAATGTGACTAGGGCTGGGTATTGTTTGAATTTATGGTTATTGCTTTTATGGTTGGATTAGATTCAACTGTATTGACATTTCACAGGTACTAAGACAACACATATTAGCATCTAACCAGAAGTGAAAGGTCTATGATACCTTAGATTTGGTACCAATATCAAAGTAATTGTTGATATCTTCTTTCTGTATTTATTTGAGAAATATAAAAGTGGGTTTTTACAAACAGTGGTGAATCTAGGTCATTTGAAATTGAGGTTACCAGAAGGGGTTTACATTGCTATTTCAGCGGTACCAATTCGATTTAACATAACTGTTCGATACTATGAGACAATTGGTTTGGTTCTCCAACAATCCACAACAATAAACGCTTTAATACTCATTTAGATGTAAATGTGAGCAGAAGTTGGTAAACTGCCAGCAATTTCTCAAATGCTAAATGTTGTCTAAACTCAAGCATCACACAAGAGCATTGACTATATAACACCAAGTTTCTCAAATGACATTGCCTCTTGTATTTGTCCTCATTTGTCCTACCGCTAACTCCTCATTCCCTCGCTAACAGATAAGATCATTCCTGCATCGTTCTCAAGGAAGTTGAAGGATCTCAACACAGTGGTTGGAGCAGCCGGAGAGATGGAGTGCAAAGTGTCAGGCTCCCCACCGTTCACCATCTCCTGGTACCACGATGGGGAGGAGATACAGAGCGGACCCAACTATGAGATCAACTTCAGCAACAACAGCTGCACGCTCAAAGTGTCCACGCTGAAGCTGTCCGACTCTGGACTGTATAAATGCAAAGCTCTGAACAAGGCTGGATCCAGCGAGACCTCGGCCTCTATGGCTGCGAAAGGTCAGGAAATACACACAGAGAAACCCTGCATGCTAACTGTTCATTATTAATGACACCGGTGGCCATTTAGTGAACTGCTATCAGCTTCCTGTTGTTCGCTAAAACTCTGAGCATTGGCCAAAAAAAGCGATGCGATATTACTTTAAAGTCATATATCATATTAGGAATGATGGCTCGATCCGAAATGTTCATGTATAATATTTTCACTATTGGCTAAATGATACTTGCTAGCTTGCCGTTATCAAATTACTTTTATCAGTTTACTTACAGAGCAACCGGCTTAGCTGAAGTAAAGCTAGCTAACCCTAACTAAGTTATGGTTAGTTAGCTACACAATACCTTGCATCGCTGTCGGCTAGTAGAAAGCAGGTTATTATTTGACAAAACAACTCCATTTGTCATATTCAGTTTTGCAAACTACAGACTTTCCCTTTATCTTTAGCAGGTAATATTAGTATTTTGCCGGCGATAAAGATTGTGAGCGGGCAAACTAACTAACTAGCTAGCTAGCTGAAACTTAACTGAACGGCAGGATCGATTTTTGGTTGCTATGTAACGTTAGCTGCCACAGTCATTTGCTAACACCAAGCTAGCCAATTTAGCAGCCAGATCTGACCAGGGAGTCTGGTAAGATATAGTAACTCCTATATAGTCTGCTGGCTAGTATGCATTATATTTTATGAGATCATCAAATGTTCCTCAACTTTGAATGAGTTCCTCAGCCCTGTTTTCTCTTGTCGAGGAACCGTCACTTTGCAAGGTGGGATCAACCTCTTCACACCACACCAACACTTACTTCTCAGAAAATGTATTTACTTTCTTGTAAATGTACAATATTAACGCCAGAAATTCTTACCTTATTTTCTAAGTATTGGTGGTATTTATTAATATATCAATAGCTCTAGTTCAACTCTTCATTGCTCAGTGAATGGTGGCTTCAAGTAGCTAGAGTTCAAGTTTAAATTCTCCTGATTTTAGTACATTTATTCCCTTATATAGTTTGACACTTCCTCCATGTTTAACGTGTTACCCTCTGCTTGCTACCCTCCAGAGCCCCCATCCTTCGTGGTTCCCCCCCAGCCGGTGGAGGCCATGCCGGGCTCCAACGTGACGTTCTCTGCGATGGTGAAAGGCAGCGCACCGCTCAAACTGAAGTGGTTCAGAGGAGCGAAGGAGATCCTGCCCGGACGCGACTGCAGTTTCTCCCTGAAGGACAACCAGGTGGTCCTGGAGCTGTTCACGGTGGACCGGTCCCACGCAGGGGAGTACACCTGCCAGATCATCAACGACGCCGGCAAGGAGAGCAGCCCCGTCAACCTCACCGTCAAAGGTCTGTCTCACGGCACTCTGTTTTCATTCTTTATTTCTTCCTATATCTTGAGCATATTGTATGTTGCATTGTTGAAGGAGCCTCGGGCTTCAGAGTTTAATTTCCAAAATGTTGTTGAAGCTGTTATTCGCACAACAATAGGCATGTGAAGCCATGACATGGCAGACTAACATTATACGTCTCTTCTATTAAACCAGCATTTATAAGTGAAGTTTCACTGTTTGCAGCATTAAGTAGATCCAGACAACTTTTAATATACATTTACCCTGAAAGTGAAAGTCATTTTACACCATCAACATTTACTATAAGCATTTAATAAAGTACTTACAAAAGGATATCAGTTTTAAAAGCAGGTAATTATTCTTTACTAGCCCCACAATGGGAACATTTGCAGACAATGGGCAACAACACAAGGAAGAACAATAGTATACCTATTTTGCACACATAATCTTTAATATAATATTATTATAAGTTAACAAAGAAGAAATGTAAACTTAAAGTTATTTTATTCTAAAATGAAGTGTCCTCTACCCCGGGTAACTCATTTTTACTATCGTACCGTATTGAGATAACAAAGACTGGATCAGTAAAATAGTGCCTCTCTGTCTATGCTTTTCTCTTCTGTTAACAAACTTTAAGCTAAACTTAAATACTTTATATTTCCTCTCAGATCCAGCAGCCTTCTCTAAGAAGCTGAAGGACGTTTCGGTGGAGAAGGGGAAACCGTTGACCCTGGAGTGCACTTATACAGGAACTCCTAAAATCACCGTGAACTGGTTCAAAGACGGCCAGCAGATCTTCGCTTCGTACAAACACAACATCACCACCACCGAGAGCTCCTGCATCCTCGAGTGCCTGAGCACCGACGACAAAGAGGCTGCTGGGAAATATTCCTGTGAGGTGTCCAACGACGCCGGGAAGGACCAGTGTGACGCTAACGTGTCCATCCTCGGTGAGAAAACAAGAGATTTCACTGTGTTTATGGGGACGTCTTTGCATCATTTTGAATAAAGATCAGTATTATTTTCAACCTAAACTGAGTTAAAGTGTTCAACAAACTTTAGTCCTGATAATAACAACGTATATTCTTTAATTTCCAGACATTTAATACTTTAAATGTTTGTAAGTTAACATAATGCAGAAACAAGTTGAACTGTTTTCTACTTTATAAATGCTAAACTGTCTAATTCAGAATAACCATATGTTACAGGAAACCTTATAAGATGGAGAAGATGTACTTTATGGGAAATGTTTGGATCAATATGAAGATATTCAGAATAATACGCAGTAGAAATTCAGTCATACTCAGTTTTAGTGTGTATGCAGTACCGGCTCTGTCCAGCAGGTGTCAGGCTCCCCCTCACTGTGACCCTGCTGTTTGTCCCTGCAGAGCCTCCGTACTTCGTGGAGTCCCTGGAGCCGATGGAGGTGACTACAGGTGACGCTGTGTGTCTGAAGTGCCAGGTGGGCGGCACACCTGAGATCAAGGTGTTCTGGTTCAAGGCCGACGGAAAGGTGCGCTCCAGCGCCACCTGCAGGCTGGAGTTCAGCCGCGGCACCGCCTGCCTGAAGCTCAGCAAGGCCGGCAAGGCCGACATCGGAGAATACACCTGCAAGGCGGAGAACTCCATCGGGTCCGCCTCCTCCACCTGCAGACTCAACGTGCTAGGTGAGCACCTGGTTACTGCACCTGGTTACTGCACCTGGTTACTTTACCTTTGTATTACACCTGGTTCCTACACCTGATTACTTTACCTTTGTATTACACCTGGTTCCTACACCTGATTACTTTACCTTTGTATTACACCTGATTACTTTACCTTTGTATTACACCTGGTTCCTACACCTGGTTACTACACCTGGTTCATACACCTGGTTACTGCACCTGATTACTACACCTGATTACTACACCTGGTTCATACACCTGGTTACTGCACCTGGTTACTGCACCTGATTACTACACCTGATTACTACACCTGCTTCATACACCTGGTTACTGCACCTGATTACTGCACCTGGTTACTTTACCTTTGTATTACACCTGGTTCCTACACCTGGTTCCTACACCTTGTAACAACACCTGATTACTACACCTGGTTACTGCACCTGGTTACTACACCTTGTAACTACACCTGATTACTACACCTGCTTACTGCACCTGGTTCCAACACCTGCTTGCTGCACCTGGTTACTACACCTGGTTACTACACCTGGTTACTACACCTTGTAATTACACCTGGTTCCTACACCTGGTTCCTACACCTGATTACTGCACCTGGTTCCAACACCTGCTTGCTGCACCTGGTTACTACACCTGGTTACTACACCTGGTTACTACACCTTGTAACTACACCTGGTTCCTACACCTGATTACTACACCTGGTTCCTACACCTGATTACTACACCTGGTTACTACACCTGGTTGCTACACCTGGTTGCTACACCTGGTTACTACACCTGGTTACTACACCTGGTTGCTACACCTGGTTACTGCACCTGGTTACTACACCTGGTTACTACACCTTGTAACTACACCTGGTTCCTACACCTGGTTACTGCACCTGGTTACTACACCTGGTTACTACACCTGGTTACTACACCTGGTTACTACACCTGGTTACTACACCTGGTTGCTACACCTGGTTACTGCACCTGGTTACTGTGAAGTAAAAACTTCTTTACAGCAATGTTGAGCCAATCATGAAATGAGGGAAACTGGATTCAGTCAATACACTGATATTTATTGAGGATTTGTACGGCCGGAGAGATCACAGTATCACACTTCTCATGTGAGATACCAGCAAACTCTAACACAAAAGACAGAAACATCTCTATATATCTTTTAAAGGAGGGGTCTAAACAGCCCGCCCTTTCCCCTAATCATTACCAGACACCAAGGACAAAGACTGCATATATTGCCCCTCCTTAAGTGCCCCAAGCCCCTCACCCACACAGGAAGTCAAAGGGCCTCTTGATCTGTCCTCCTGAGTATTACGCGCAGGATCACATTCCAATGAGCAGGAAAACACTTTAACCAGAAACAGATTCCCGAGGACAAGTCACTAAACTCTATATACTTTAACAAGACTAAAATATTCCTTTACAGTTACTACACCTGATTCCTACACCTGGCTACTACACCTTGTCACAACACCTGGTTGCTACACCTGGTTACTTTACCTTTGTATTACACCTGGTTACTGCACCTGGTTACTGCACCTGGTTACTACACCTGGTTACTACACCTGGTTACTTTACCTTTGTATTACACCTGGTTACTGCACCTGGTTACTGCACCTGGTTACTACACCTGGTTACTACACCTTGTTAACTCCCTCCACCTTTTCTCCTCCAGAGGCCAAATCCCCGCCCTCCTTCCCGAAGAAGATGACCAGCCTCCAGCAGACGGAAGGCCAGGCGGTGCGGTTCGAGTGCCGCGTGGCCGGCTCCTCTCCGCTGGAGGTCACCTGGCTGCGAGACGGAGAGCCCCTAAAGCAGGGCGGAGACTTCACCATGAAGTACGACGACAACACGGCGGCGCTGGAGATCGCCCGCGGAGAGATGAGGCACTCTGGGGAGTACACCTGCTCAGCCACAAACAGCGTGGGGTCCGCCTCCTGCAGAGCCAAGCTCACCCTGACAGGTACCTGAGTCTGATAGAAAACACCTGACAGCAGGTACCTGAGCCTGATAGAAAACACCTGACAGCAGGTACCTGAGCCTGATAGAAAACACCTGACAGGTACCTGAGTCTGATAGAAAACACCTGACAGGTACCTGAGTCTGATAGAAAACACCTGACAGGTACCTGAGTCTGATAGAAAACACCTGACAGGTACCTGAGACTGATAGAAAACACCTGACAGGTACCTGAGCCTGATAGAAAACACCTGACAGCAGGTACCTGAGCCTGATAGAAAACACCTGACAGCAGGTACCTGAGCCTGATAGAAAACACCTGACAGGTACCTGAGTCTGATAGAAAACACCTGACAGCAGGTACCTGAGTCTGATAGAAAACACCTGACAGCAGGTACCTGAGACTGATAGAAAACACCTGACAGGTACCTGAGCCTGATAGAAAACACCTGACAGCAGGTACCTGAGCCTGATAGAAAACACCTGACAGCAGGTACCTGAGCCTGATAGAAAACACCTGACAGCAGGTACCTGAGTCTGATAGAAAACACCTGACAGGTACCTGAGCCTGATAGAAAACACCTGACAGCAGGTACCTGAGCCTGATACAAAACACCTGACAGCAGGTACCTGAGACTGATAGAAAACACCTGACAGGTACCTGAGCCTGATAGAAAACACCTGACAGGTACCTGAGTCTGATAGAAAACACCTGACAGCAGGTACCTGAGCCTGATAGAAAACACCTGACAGCAGGTACCTGAGACTGATAGAAAACACCTGACAGGTACCTGAGCCTGATAGAAAACACCTGACAGCAGGTACCTGAGCCTGATAGAAAACACCTGACAGCAGGTACCTGAGCCTGATAGAAAACACCTGACAGGTACCTGAGCCTGATAGAAAACACCTGACAGGTACCTGAGT